TTACCAATCTCAATTTGAGAGGCCTCATCAATGACAAGATGTTTAAGTGGGATGCGCCTGAAGAAGCCATCAAGACGGGGGTTGGCAAGCATAGATACAGTGCATAGGATGACTTGGATGCCATCAAGGACCTTGAAGTCAGGGCCCTTCTTGGGAAAGTTGCCAGACTCAATGATGTTGCGGTCAAGACCGTGGTAAAGATGGTCGTGCCTACCAAATTAATTAAATATATGATAAAAATATAGAAATAGATGAAATATGACTGACCAGTCATATTTGAAGTCCTTAGAGACCAGTAACTTGAAAGCTTTAAAGCCAATTTTGAATAGCTTTTCCGCAATATTTTTGACAGCAACATTAGACTGAGCAATAAGCCAGATGCCACCACGGCCAGCTGAGATAGAAGATGAGACAAAGGTGGCAATGACACTGGTCTTGCCAGTGCCAGGCGGCCCTTGGATGAGAGTAAGGCGAGTACTGGGATTGGTAGAAAGCATATGGTGGACAGCATGAAGCTGCGAGGAATTGAGTGGGTAGTCTGGATGCTCGACCGATGCAGGTCGGGACTTCTCAGCAGCCCAGTCCTCAGGCCATGGGGCAGCATCCCCGTTAACAGCCTTGAGCCAAGGATTATCCCAAGGGACAACCTTGCCCTGCAGTACCTCGAGCACGTGCTTGGCTCGCTCTGACTCAGCCAAAGTGCGCCCACTGCGCCCAACCGTAGTCATACTAGAGATAGCTTTACCGTCAAGCTTGATGTCAGTCTTGATAGCTGCGGATTTGCCAGCTGCCTTGGTGACCTGGCCACGGACTTGGTATGTACCAGTAGCCTGGTCACCCACAGTCATGACAACATTCTACATTATATAATGTTAGTGATGATCAATATATATATAAGCCAAAGAACTTTTACTGCCTGTCTATCAGTAAGTCGGGTCTGAAAGCGGCCGGACTTGGCCTCAAGCTTCTGCTTAGACTGGCTCCACTCTACAGATGCAAGATTGTTGGCAGTCTTGTCAGACTTCTCTGCATCCTGACGATGCTGATCATGTGCCAGCTTAGATAAGTCATAGAGTTGCTAGCTGATGTAAGAATGAATATATGAATGAGTATATAAGCCACATACCCAGTCAAGGAATTTAGTAGTGTCAATGAGAGGAGCCTCAGCAAAGGGTTCATCGAGACCTTCAGTCTCTGAAGAACAAGCAAAGGCAGACACCCAAGCACGGAGCACGAGCGAAGTAAGGACCTTCGAGGTCTCCTCGAAGTCGAAGTTGTCGAAGTGCTCGATCACACCGCGTTTATTCACATCGGCCGAGTTGCCGAGCAAGAACTTGATGGCGCGAAGGGGCTCGCGGCCTTTGATAGGAAGAGCCGACTGGATGTCGATAGCTTGGACGAAGTGGAACTGGTGGAAGTGGCTTAGGAGGAGTATGATGGGTGCGATGTTGAAGGCGTAGATGGTGTGAGACTTGTTCTCGAGGATACGCGAGGAAAGGTGCATGCGACCCGCGGCGTTATCGCGGGTGGACGTCGCGCTCGTGAGGAGCACCACGAGGCAGCGCGAACGGACGTTCGGGTCGCGGGATGCAACCGCGAGTGCGAGAGCGGGGACACTGCCCCTCTTGGCGAAGGCTGCAGACATCCCCATTACAGAGGAGAGCGAGAGCTGATTGCCTTCAAGCCAATCGATGTCAGACGAGGAGAGCTCCGACTCGTGAACGCGGCGCCATTCGATCTGCGGGATATCGTCGTCGATCAAGTTCTGCTCGATGCGGCCCTGGTCCACCTTGCGCTCCTCGTCCACCTTATTATCCTCAGCAGAAGTGCGACCCATAGCAAGACGATGCAAAGTTAGGATCAAGCGCGATGAGAGCAGACGGAGAGTCGCTATCAGGGCACGATCTTCCGCGCGCGTTCACACTGCTTCGCTCTCACGCGCGCATTCATGTTCTTGCGTCCGACTGGGTCAAGTCGCTGCTGCGTAGACGCCCGGATTTGGTGAATTCATGGGCCACTTCAAGGGCGGACTCAAATAGTATGGCGGTCAGTGTATATGTACAGGACACATACAGCGTGGCTGCTGGATGGTCTGGCTGCGAAAGCGCGGCGACGCAAAATACCACTCGGAGCTTCCTTATGATGTCAATATGGCATGACATTGTCACTGTACACAAGTTTATGCAGCTCAATGCGTTTGAGGCTATAGGTGTAACACGAAGCACAGCGAGTCTGAGGAATTGAAGGTGGTGGTGGTTGAAGACAAGCTACACGTCAAGCCGCGGCGCCGCCTCACGGTTACGGTCGCGCGCGGCAAACCCACCGTTCTCCCACCTTCGCTTCTGACCACCAACACCATCATGGCCACTGCTGTCACTATTGGTCTCGGTGCACTTGCGGCCGGTCTTGCAGGCCGCCATTTCTTACGTTCCGGTCGTGGAGCTGCGGAGCAGTGGGTGAAGGGAGGATTCAGGGCGAAGATGGACAGGAGGGAGGCAATTCAAATTCTGGGCTTGAAGTACGTTTCCATATCCTATTGTTGGCCATACTTCACGAGCTTACTATGAATCAGGGATGGCCCGACACTCAACAAGCGCTTGAAGGATGCTCACCGGCAAATCATGCTGGCAAACCATCCGGACCGCGGCGGCTCGCCTTACCTTGCCAGCAAAATCAACGAAGCGAAAGACTTGTTGGAGAGGGAGTCGAAGGGAAGGTCATAACCATCTGGAATACCCCGTGCGTTAAGTCTCTACTTCATAATTAATGCCGTACTTACACTTGTATAGCATTCGCGTCACATCATCCTCTGCCATCCCCATCATGTACCCGCTCTCGATGCCCTGCTATGTTACACGCTGTTCAATACTACCCCCATATAATGCTTGCAATATACTACACCTCACCACCTCTCCACTGCAACGCAATTTGGTTGAGCGACCTGGATCGCCGGTCAGATGACTAAGCGCCGCGGTATTCACCGCGGGTGTCTTCTCGTTTGCGGCCTGAACGAAACTCCCATCATCATGGATGCGGACGAATCTTCAGATTTTGAGCCTTCTCGTCTTGGAACCAAGGAACAGTGGGCTGATTTCCGTTCAATTGGGAAGTCGCTTTTTCCGACTCTTTGTTAGCTGGGACTCCGTCTACGCTCGAGAAGTAGACAACTTCGAAGAAACTGGCGATGAGGGCGAAGTCTGGTCTGTTTCCACATAGCTTGATGATTGTCCTGGCATGAACATTGTCATCTCAGGTTTGGCGAAGACGCTGTTGAGAAGATGGTCGACTGGGCAGCTGAGAACATTCCGTCTTCTAGCGAGCCCTACGTCCTTGAAGTAGGAGCTGGAAACGCAACCTTGCTCTTAGCGCTCGTCGATGCAGGCTATTCGGCATCGCGGGCCGCCGCGATCGACTACAGCCCAGACGCAGTCCGTTTGGCCCGTCTGGTCGCTGAGCAACGCGAACATCCGGACGTTCTCGTAGCTGAGTGTGATTTCCTCGCCCAGGACCCGCCACTATGTGCGGGACAGAAGGAAGGGTGGGACCTATTGCTCGATAAGGGTACATACGATGCAATAGCGCTTGGCGACAAGGATGAAAACGGTCTCACACCAGCCGCGAGATACCCTCCGCGAGCTGCAGCGATCTTGAAACCGGGAGGCTACTTCCTCATCACTTGTGGGTATTTGATCGCGCCTGACCGAGGATAACCACGCTCATGGAATTCACAGCATGCAATTTCACCGAGGAAGAACTGAAGCGTAGCTTTGCCACGCCAGAGACCGGTCTCGTCTATCAGTATGTCGAATTGGCTTGTCTCTTTTCGAGGGAGATCATGGGCTGATGTGAAACTCATAGTTCGCGGGTACAGCACCCCGTCATCTCGTTTGGAGGGAAAAGCGGCAGCGTCTATGCTACAGTAGCGTTCCAGAAACCAAAGTAACGCAGCAACGCGGAAGGTTATGAAAAGGTGTACATGTAATCTGTAGCATGCATACTAGCGTGAAGGTCACAGCGATGATACGATATCCGTGCCCATACGAAGCGTCTCAACGGCCACGCCTCCAGCCCACTTGTAAAACGCATCCTCTTCGCTCTCCTCACTGCGAGCCTTGTCCATCTCCCCAAGGAAGTACGCCAGTCCCGCAGCAAGAGCCGGAACCCGCGCGGCTTTCAGGAAGACAGTCTCGACGGCCGTGCGGTCCCGTTTCGGCGGTAACTCCTGCACCCGAGCAGCGAGTGCAGGCGAACGCGCTTGCGTGTCGAACAAAACGCGCTCGAGCAAGTCGCGCATGAAACGTCGGGTCGTGGGCTTGAGTGCGATGAAGTCCACCGGCTTCAGTACAGTGAGCGATATGGCGTCACGTGCGATCCACCATGCGTAAGCGCGCGCGACGTTGCGTCTTCGCGAGGAAGAGACTTTGTCGTCGCTGCCGCCGAAGAAGTCTTCACCGAGCGACTTGATGAGTTCAGCGCCGCCCACGGAAGTCTCTCCGAGGTCTCGCAGGAAGTCCCACAGGCAGAACTGGAGGGTGATCTTGTGCGAATGGGCTGTATTGGCGAGGTGTTGGCCGACGAGCGTGTAGTACGGATTATAGGTTTTCTCCTGCACGCATAGATCAATAAAGGTCCGTCAAGAGATCGAGATGCCCACGTACGTTGCCGCAGCAGTGCAAAATCACACGGACTATCTCGCGCTGCTGGACCTCCGTCAAGTTGAGCTGGGCAAGGCGCTCGCACGCGTCCATGTAATCCTATGGATAGTCAGCATCTGAAGGAAGACGAAGGTAGGCATACGCACATCGCTGCTCATCAAGACGACGAAGATGCTTCTTCGTATGTCAGTGTTCATGCCTTGTTTCTTCGCGAGCTTCAGCAAAGCATTCTCCGCTACCGCCGTAGATGCGCTGTCCGCCTGAGGCTGTTGTTTCGCCTGATGGTCGACCAAAGGATCGCCTCCCCATGCTGCACCGACAAGCCACCACTTTCCCCGGCTGTCGGCTGAATGCAGGTCTGCGAGCGATACTCGCAAAGGGTCATGAGCCATTAGATGACGCTTCTTGCCAAGACCCGTTAGGAACTTCTTCAGTCGCTCGACAGAGTCACCACCAGTGTGCTGCGCTGCGGCGCGTTGTTTCGTCTTGTTGTTCTTCAAGTTGATCAGGGTCTCGATCATGAAGCGCGTACGCGAGCTGAAGGCCATGCTGTCAGAGGTGGCGTATACGTATGCAACCTCGTGGGCGTACCTCGATGAGCTCTCATTCGCGCCTACTTTGTTCTGCACGATTTGGATGATATCCTTCAGCGCTGTAGGGTCATCCTGCCGTAGCTGCTGTCCAGAATCTTCGCCCTGTCAGTCAACTGTCCGCATTATGTTTGCTCATGACGTACTTCGTAAGAGCTTCAAAAGTAGCTCGACGTCCGTTTCCGCAAGGTCGCCGTCAAGTAAACTCCGGATGATGTCATATATGAGGACGCAGGATATAACTTGGAAGTTGTATAGCTCGGAGAGAAGGATGATCAGATTCGAGCATTCCTTCCCCTTTGCTTCGTCGGGTACATCCGTTGCTTCTCCCGACGCAGTTAAGGCCGAGTACTGCTCCTCATACTTTGCGACGATGTTCTGAATGACGAATGCAGCTGTGGTCACTGGTGAGCGCGGGACTGGTCGATGAGAGATGGGAGCCTACCGAACTCGACGCCAACGATCTTGTGTAACGCAGATATCAGGGCAGCGTTGAGTATCACGAATGAATCCAGCATGCTTGAATGAGAGGTAATGCCGTTGACAAGCAGGTTCGTGAGCGTTTCGGTCATATCTATTCAGTAAGTTCCATTAACAAAGGCGTGCAAGGGGCGTTTAGGAAGGACCACGTGCCGTGCCGTCTGTGCTTCCGATACAAATCCTCGATCTCGTCTAATATATTGGCGATGTTCTGTTCACTCAATCTATACATACCATTAACATGGTGAAACTTGGGGATACGTTGCTTCTCTTACCGATTGAGTAGACCCTTGAGCTGGCGCGTGAGCTTGGCTATGGCTTCAGTCTCATCGGCGCTGGCGGCCTTATTTCGTAAATGGGGAGGCACATATCGCCCTAGCGTTGTGTCAGATGAAATTAGAATGGAGGTCATATTTCGCTTGCCTGGTGCTGGCGTGGCAGGGTTTGGGGATGCGGGTGCTTCTTCACCTTCCCACGCGAATCCGGTCCATTCTAGTGACGCATCGGCCGCACCATTAGACAGCCCGTCGTCGACATCTTCCGAACCATCTAGCGAACCCTCGTTCTCGTCCTCTTCGTCGGAGAATTCGGATTCCGAGTCCTGTACACGGCTTGCATCGGCGTACCAAGCTCATCATATGTAAGAACATACCAATGGACCCGGACCTGGACCAACGATCGAGTCCAGTCCATCAAGTAGATCTATGACCACCGAGTTAGAGTAAGGACTCCCAACATTGAATTGCGGCTTACCATCCAGTCCATCGTCCTCGAACCCTCCGCCTCCCTTTTTCGCGCCCTTCTTCATACCCAGTTTGGACTCCAGATACGCTATCCGAGCATCTTCATCTCGTTCGGTTTGCGAGCGTGGTACCGGCATGGAGGTCGCACGATTAGCTAGTTTCTGTAACGCAGATGGCTCCCGCTTGCTGGGCTCCGTGGCCGCAGATGCCTTTCCTTTTGGCACTGCGCTCGGAAGGACTGTGGAGGTTTTGGTGACCGTTGCACTTGCAGAGTTTTGTGGAGCAATGCGAGCCTTCTTCCGTACTGGTGAATCGGGATGTTCATGGCTGGAGTCGGCTGGGCGCTTCGCTCCGGGTTGCGAGATAAGTTGCGCATGTGAGGTAAAATACGAAGCCTTGCGCTGCTTCTTTTCAGCGCGGTCCTGTTTACGCGCTTCCTTGCGCGAGAGCTTAGGCTTACGCGCATGTCCGTGGCCGTGTCCACCGCGTTCTAGAAAAGACAGTCTGTTGAGGCGGTGTCCATACCAGCGAACAGCTGCAAAGGCCTACCGGATGCCTCCCCCTGTATCTGTTCTAGCAGTGTCTGCGGTAGCTTGATCCCGCTTGCAGAACGCATAGTGGCGCAAGGACTGGATGTAGGTGCCCGATGGCAGTAAAATTCAAGACGCGTCTCGGGCTTCTCGATAGGGGCGCTAGCAATAATGATCGGGCCGGTTTACCGAACTTCCAATTGCTGGTTGCGACAGGGCTGCAACTGACACTGTACCACCACCACCTTGGATATCATATGTTTGGAAGCCTTGTGGCTTTGACTCTTGTTGGATTACTGATCTCATACTATGCTCGAATGACTCAGAAGACGCTTAGGTGAGATATTCTGCACAACGCATGCATCGCTGGACTCATCATTACCTTCAACGGAAGCCACGGGAATAGCGCGGACGTACAGACTACCTCAGCTGTACACGACGACGTGGCATTCTCTCTCATGAAAGTGAAACGCATACATTCGCAGCCGCTGGTCACTCCCTTGTCGACGTCGTCGCTTCCTATCGATATCATGCTGGTCATACTATCGCACGCCATTGAAATGCCATCACTGAGCCGTGATAGAGCCGGCTGGTTTGAGCGGCGCTTCTCCCTGGGCCTAAGCCACGTCTGTGGTTTCTGGCGTGCTATAATGATGGAGAATAAGGTCATGTGGACGAATATATCTGTCCTCTGGGATCGGCAGACCATCGACTGGTATCATACCCGTGCCGGTGATCTACCTGTTCAGTACCATCTTGTCATGGAGGGACCGTCGTCGGCCAGGCGCGCGGACAACTGGTTGTTGGACACTCCTGTACAGGAGTTCATCCGCACATGCACTGTTCCCTCGGCTTCCTCTGCCAAGAAACTCAACATCGATCTACAAGTCGGAGGCTGGCCTGGTTTTGGGCGAGCCGTCATTGCCGATAACCTCGGCCGCGCTCTTGAGCGAATGGATGCACCATATCTCGAAGAGCTGTCTATCAATGGCATTGAGACCCCTCGATTTCGTATAACTGGTGCCGCGTTCAAAGGCAGTGACGGTCTCCCAGCCCTACACAAAGCATCTTTGACCAACCTCACAGTCGCGAACGAAAGCGCGTTCTTCCACTCTGGCCTTACACACCTTTCTCTCTACAAGGTGCAAGTTGAGTGGGGCACGCTGAACCTGCTCGAGCGCCTTCCAAACTTAATATCCCTCTCGATCTCTCCACTCGCGGTCACACTCATAACGATCTCTACCCGATACCACTTACCGCACCTCCAAACGCTCGCCCTCCGTGGCCCAGCCCGAGATGTCAACACATTCATGGGAGCTCTCTTCTACCCCCACACATGCTCTGTCGATGTATGCTTGATGGAAACTTTGGGAGCAGATCTCGACAAGAACACCGTGTACGCCCGAGGTGTCTTCGAGACCCTCCGGACGCGTCTTGAACCGCACGGGACTGTCGATGTATTCAATCATCTTGACGTGAATACAGACCCCTTCATCGTTCGCTTGGCGCTCTCACAACGCACGTGTGAGCATCGCCCAGTCCCCAATGCGCAGAGCTTGGTCGTGACATTAGTCGCTTTCCTTCCCAACCGCCGCTTCTTGCTCAAACCATTGGTGGACGACCAATTGCCGGGAATGGAGTTCATCCGCACATTGACGAGCACGTATGCGGCGTTGGGGAGTATGTCAGGGTTCCCACATCATCGCGACCTATGGACGACCGTCGCGAGCCGTACTCCTCGGCTCGGCTCGTACGTTCTGCGGGGACACATGGACAATGCAACCAGCTGCTTCGATGCCCTCGAAGCCGCGCACACGGACACCAGGTCACCTTTGCCGCCCGGCAGACCAGAGAAAATTGTTTTGGAAGGGGTTGATTGCGACGCAGAATCCGAACATCTACCTGCTATACTCGACCCTGGCTCATCGTTTTGGGCGGTCATGGAGCGTCGCCCTGCATTGAAGGTCATATTCAAGGGATGCGCGGTCCCAAGTGGGGCTGAAGAAGGTTTGTCTCGCCTAGGCAATGTTTCAGTGGTTTCAGAATAAGTTACTACCAGATCACAATGGATACTTGTACATTCATATACCCATTATATGTATCAGCATTAAGACCAACCCAATATCTTGCCATCCCATGTCCATCTACTCTCTCCAACCGCCTCCCTCAACCGTGAAACCATCGTGCTGTCGTCGATGATGCACTTGCGTACGTGAAACATGCGCAGGCGACCCGCACTCGCGCGTGTAGCGAGGTAAGCCTCGAGGCGATCGACGTTCAGAGTATTAGGAACGGCCTGCGTGGGACTGTTTGCCGGCACAGGCGTGAAAGCCGCGTTCTTTATGCAGATGACCTCCAGCTGGGGATGGAAAATGGAGAGTATTCTCTCAGGCGTCCGGGAAAACGCCCACGCCGGATAGTGGGTCATCTCAAGCCATCGAATCCTTGTTTGACGCGCGATGAGAGCATTGAACGTTGGGAAGTGTACGAGGAAGTCCGGTAGAGCTTGACGCGAACGTTGGCTATTGGACGTGCTCATGCTCAACCCCTCTAAGCCTTGCAGAGCGGATAGCTGTTCGAATACAACTCGGGAGGTGGAGACGTCTGGGATGTCTGGTAGGTCCCATACCATGCCCAGAGTGAGGCGCGTGTCCTTGACGACTTTCCCGTAGACAAGGTCCATATCGGTGATGTCCACGTCTCCGGACGAGAACGGGGAGTCTTCGATCTTGCAGAGATGTGAGGCCTGGAGAAAGAGTCGATCGTCCCTCCTGTCACGTAGTAGCACGTGGGCTGCGCGGAAAGACATGCCGCTGTCGAAAGCGGGCTTATAGTGAGCGTTAAGAGCATCCATGAGGCTCTCCAAGTTGACTCTCTTTTCCTCCCCGCTGGACCCTTCTCCGTCGTGTGTTCCCTTGGCTTCGATGGAGATCAGGCACTCCAAAGGGAATGCAATGTGTTCCAGTACTTCGCTTACGGAGGAAATGCGATCTGTTATGTCGAGCAGTGACAGGCGAGGAAGAGAAGCGATTGTATGTTCCGGCGCGCTGGCTGAGGGTGGGTCGTCCGAGTCGAATGTGAAGAAGGAGCTCTCCGGACGTTGATCCAGTCTGAGAAGTTCAAGTTGCTGCATTCGAGATAGCGTATCGGCCATATCTCTGCCGTCGTTCCAGACATCGTAAACATCGATGAGGTGGAGGTTGGTAAGAGGGCTATTCAAGAGGGGATTCGACTTCGCAAGTTTTTGGTCGAAGACCTCCAAGACGCGCAACCGAGGTGGCGCCCCCCCGGCAAATAACGTGGGCAGAAAAGAATCGAAGTCTCGATCCGTGCTCTTTAGGTCGAGATATAGCTTCTCGAGAAGCGGTGCGGCAACAGCAGATAGGATGGTATATATCTCCGCAACTGATAGCGCAGCGTCTGCAGGCTCAACCTCCTCGTCGTCTGAACTCTCCATTTCTGATTCACCTTCGACACCCCTCTTCTGCCAGATGAACCCTCTCACTCGGGGCATCAGGTGCAGAAGCTGTCTCTGTTTCTCCCTCGACCGCGGAGCCCAGGAGCCGCGCGTACTGTCTATCGCCAAGTAAAGTGGTCGTTGTCCGGATCGCCGAACGAAAGTGTCGATCGTCTCCGAAGGCGCATGGGTGGGTATACACGTCCAGAGTTCAACAACGGCTGTTGCGGCATTATGCCAGCGCTGAGAGACCACAAGAAGGCCCAGGATGTCCCCATATGGAAGGCTAGTGATGCTGTCCGAATATACTTCGTGGAGGAAGGCGTGCTCGAATGCTTCGCCTATATGAGACAGTATTCTGCGTACCATGATGAGCCTCCGAACCGCACAAAATTATAGTACAATGAGTCTGTCAAACGCACTTTTGGAGGATCTCAGGTGGCAAACGTTCGATGGGGGATACGCCTGGATGGGATCGGCCCATTAACGAGTCTCCCAAGGACTAAGCCTCTCCGAACCGGAGCTCACATACCGTTTGGTACAGTATTGTGCTCCATCGCTTCCTACACGACGTGTCTCAGAGAGTTACTAGTGACTGTTGGGTGCAAGTGAACACCGACCGGCACCAGATGATCTCTAGTCGGTCCGACCTCCGCCGACCGACTGCGAAGTTGTCATGATGTCTGCCACATGTGGGGGTGGCCGGGGCGTAGCCCGCTATCGACGTCTACCATGCAGGTGGCCGGAGCGCAGTCCGCTTCGCGCTGCAGGGCCGATACGTGTAAGAGCACAGGTTTCTTGAATACTGTATACGAGTACCACAAGGCTATATCTATTATATAGTGCACTATGATAAGATGTGACCGCCGCAGGTCCGCAGGGCGTGGTTGTGGATCGTGGATCCCAGGGCATTCTAAATAATAAGTTCCAGTGCGAGCCCAACTATGGCACCGTCGTTGGATCGTATCACGATTTGCGAGTAGAGGTAACCCATTTGATTCATTTCGAGTCTTAGGACTTTTGTGGCTTTCGAGCGCCACGCTTGGAATGTTCTCCAGTTTTGGGTGCAGGCTTCGCCTACACGAGTCGACGTTAGCGCGCGAGTGACCAGGGCAAAGAGCATACGAACCGGCAAAATCCACCGTTCCTTCTCACGCAGTTTAGCCTGTTCGAGGATATACACCAAGGCTTCACGAACTGGCCCGACACTATGATTGACGGTGGTCCGGTATAGTGCTTTCTTTGGCAAGAATACATATGTCCAATCTACGAAGAACGGTAAGGTTGTGTTTGCGAATGGCCCAGCTGTGCAACATCACTCACCAGGTTGAACCCAACGATCCGCATTCGCGTCAAGCGGATCAAATACAAGCAGAGGCGCTTGAGCTGCACCCTCCGTGGACAAGTTCTGGACTCGTGCGCCTCGGGTAATGATCAACTGCAAAGCCGTTCGGAGTTTACGCTTGACTGTACTCCACACGAACTTATCCTCGCCGATGTAGTCGTTCCTGCGGGAGAATACGACAGACATGTCAAGTCCTTTCATGTCTTTGGCGCGAGTCTCTGGATAGGGAGTGTAGTCCCATCCTCGCGGGGATACGGGATACTCATCCTTGATGAGCCACGCCTTCGGCAAGGCCTGAAGGTCGAAATATCGGGAATGCCAAATGGGTGACAGCTTATGGCGTTCGGAAATTGATAGTGGAGCTGCGGTATGAGTTGGATCCAACATATGTTTCAGAGGTGTCCGCCTGTCGCGGTAGAGAAGTGGGTACACCGACCCCGGTGTGGTCGCGCGAGTCTAGGTCGAGACGCTCGTCAAGGAGTTAGGGTATATGAAATAGCATGACGCACGTTCACATGAGTTAGGTTGTTCGTATTTTTAGGGAGTCGAGCAATGTCAAGGCATCTGGCTAGGCGTGGAGGTGAGGGCATACGATGACCGTTCGAAGCAAGACGCGTCCAACTGCCAACGAATCATAACGGCAGGACGCGTCGCGTCGCGTCGCGCCGTCGTGCTCATGCGCGAGCCCTCCTTTTGCCCTCCTTGTTTTCTGCCTTCATCATCGCGCTTCCAGCCGTAGTCAGCGCGTCGCGCGTTAAGCGCGGCTGAGCTCGGTGAGGCAATGTAGGAGACATTGATTATGGCGAGAGGCGACGGACTAGTCTTCTCTGAATAATTGTGGCCGTGTACAATGTAATCCGGATCGATGGCCGGCGTCATGTATTTACGGTCCTATGGTGCCCCTAGCCCTCCGGGCGGCACTTTAAATATACTGTTGATCCAAAAAAAAGATTGTATTTGCAGGTGCTACATTCGCACCGTGAACAAAACTGAGTGAATTTCACCGAGACCAAGCCATGTAAGGCATGTGTACATGTGGCGCACGACGCGTCCTTAGATCATCTGAGAGTACATACAACCTACAACAAACAAGTCGTACACATTCAACATTTCATACACTGCGTCCAAAATTCGCAAGCGTCAAGTAGTACCCGGTCAGCAGACCAAGAATCAGGGCAGAGTCCTCGCCGCATTTTTTCTCTTCGACATTTCGAGACCGCCTCACGCGGCGGGCGCAGCCTCGGCCTCGGCCTTGCCTGCCTTCTTCTTGCTCTTCTTCGTCTCACGGAGCTTGCGCGTGACGAGCTCCTTGAGCTCTTCGTCCTCGAGCTCCTTCTCCGTCTTGACGAGCTCGGGCTTGTACCATACGGGTGGGTGGGTGAGCAGCGTCGGGCCGGCGGGCAAGAGCGCGATGGTGAAGTGGAAGGCCGCGACGAACGTCTTTGGCGGGGTGTACCTGTAAACGGACACGGTCAATCGTACAGTCCTTATGAGAAACTGGGAGGAAAGTCTACGCACACGACCTCGTACTCCTTCACCAACGAGTGGCTAACGGCCTCCTTCAGGCCAACACGCGCACGCTTCTCGTCCTCCAACATCCTAACATTGAACGGGAACGCGCCAGCCTTCTTCACCACCTCGCCAAAGACCTGACGGGCGGACGGCGACTTCAGCTGGTACACGACCGTGCTGTCGCGCTGGAAGATCGTCGTGCGCTGGTCCTCCATACGCGCCTTCCCGTCCTCGGACGACGCGACGAGGATGTCCATGCCATACACCTCGTCCTCTGCGAACGTCACGGTCTCGAGGTCCTTCTTTTGTTGATCTGAGGGGTTCAAGATGATGCGCTTCTTGCCATCGATCACGTTTTGCGTCTGTTGGCACGAGAGCATGCCTGTAGATGTAGATAATCGGCATCAGCGTCATAGACCCTTTCAACAGCGAATGCCAGTCATACCCTCGACCGGCTTCGTGTCCCATGCAGAAGCGACCTTTGCGACGGTCTCCGTAACCTGCCAGTTCTTGTTGCCGACCTTGATCAAGCGCATGGCAGCCTCAGCGGCGGTGTATGCAGCTTTGAGCACATCGGCGCGGCGGCCAGTTACGGGCTCATCTGCCGATGCGCCGACAACGATCGTCTCGGCAGAGACAGCCGCAAAGCCATCGATGTGTGCGCCGAGGTGCAGCTTGACGACGTCATCCTTGGCGAGGGTGAGGTCGGCACTGGGGTCGGATCTGCGGGATGCCACAGTTATTATTTGAGCAGTCGTGTGCAGGAAGTTCAAGTACGCACGCGAGAGGGGAGAAGTGTGCGACGGTGTTGTTAACCGAGATGGAAGTCGGGAAAGCGATGCCTGTAAATACAATTATGAGATGCGGTACTCCAGACATGGATGAATATCCTCACCCTTGGGCACCTTGGTGCCCTTCACGGCCTTGTTGTACACAGCGCCAGTGCCCTCCTCGAGCAACTTGTCGCCCTCAATGCACAGATCAATAATCTTGGCGCCCTCAACGAGCTTAGGTACGAGCGCCTTGACGACATTGTTCACAATGTCCGCCGCAGTCTACACAGCGCCGCGCGGAAAATCTTTAGAAAAACCATAGATCTGGAGAGGTGATCTGGCCGCATCGCGCACCTTGTACTTGGTGATGGTCGCCTCCGCGGTAGAGCGCGGCTTCTCGGCGGGCGTCTCCGCGGGCTTGGGTTCGGTGTCGGCCATTGTGTCTGTAGTGGGGAGTGGTAGATGGAGAGCAGATCGCGTCGGACAGACGTCCGGCACCGCGACGCGCCATGACGCGACGCGACTGGGCTATTCTCACGCATCTCTCTCCGTTCGGGACCGTAGACAGACTTGATCGAGTAAAGGATGATGTAGATAGGTTATGATGCATGGTACATGAAGGGGGCGTGAGCGTGTATGGAGCCTGGAACTATGTGCGATGTACATGTAGCGACTATACGACGGGGTAAAGCAAGATAAATAGCAGGGCAGAGCAATTGATGAGATTGGGATAGCTTGTCGTTTGCTTGTCGTGATGTTCAATTCGTAGGCTTGTAGAGGACGAAACCGCGCAGAGTTCTACATAACTCCACGTCCTTAGGTTGGTCTCCAGAGAGGCGCTCGGACGCTGGATACCATAGCTTCTCCCGCCACAACCGCCAGTTCGGGGGCTCGCCATCGGGCTCGTTCCACTTCAGCAGTGAGGCAGCAACATCGCGCATACCTATACGCGAAGCCATATCCCTGCGATAATGTTAGCGCGCGCATACTGAAGTAGTTCATCATGAACTCACTCTTCCCAGTTCTGCCAATCATGCTCAAACTGCTCCACGATCCCTGACCTCCCGTCTTTCTCGCTGACAGGAACGTGATCCCCCTTGGCGACCTTCACCGCTTTCCAACTCGGCCCCTGCATATCCTGCCCATACAACGCCTCATATGCTTCCTGAATCGCCTTCCGACAGTTCCTGACCATCTGCACCGCCCTTGCCAGATGCATCGGCGCATTGGCAGCCAGGAACTCCGTGTTGCTCATCGAAGTGCCGTTTGAGTGAAGAGAGTAGAGGGAGTGCGTGGAGTGCGAGAGGTCGTCTTCGGAAGATTGGACGTCGTGATCGTGCTTAACGCGCGCATTGCCGAGTGTGGCGTACTTGTTCACGTCAATAAGCTGCTCGTCCGCACCTGATGCCACGGGATTTGGCATACGAATGTCGAGCGTAGGCAGCACGCGAAACTCGTTCGAGAGCGCTGAGAGGTAGAAAGGCACCACGGACGTGACCAGCTGCGGTATGCTTCTGGCGTCGAGCATCTCCTCCCACGCAGCAGCTAAACGCGAATGATCTAACGGGTTGCCATGCGAGGTATCGATGGGCGGGAGCTGCGGTGGCGGAAAGTACGAGTCTGCGCTATCGATGCGAGGGCGCAACCCGGTACCGGAATGTGACACCGAGGTGCGATGTGTTCGTGGGCCGGGTGAGAGGGGACCATCGGTGGATGATGAAGGGTCGAAGGAGGTTTGAGATGAGGATGTGAGGTCGGATGATGACAGTGGTCCTGTCGTTGAAGGTGTATTGGGCGTGAGGAAAGATTGTGGCGGTTTGCGGACTCGTGCACCGGGGAAGATTAGGTCGTCGCTGATGATTTCTACGACGCCACCAGGTTTCGCGACTCGTACGCCTTCCTCGATTGTGTTAGCCCACTAGTGGCGGAAGGGTGTAAGTCACACGACCACAAAGTGAAACGAAGTACTCGCCTTCTTCTCCGGTAGGAATGGAGTAACGAAGCGAAACAGCACTAGATCGAAGTAGTCGTCTGGGTAGGGGCACGATTGACCCAATCTATCCATTGGTGCAGCAACCGTTAGGTTAGGTGCGTCGAGAAAATGGAGCAAATACTCACTCAGTGGTATTCACGTATGTGACCCGGCTGAATATATTTAGGTAAGGCAAGACCCTATTGAACTTGCTCCCTACCCCGCTGAGATCATGGCAGTCTATAGCCGAATTAAGTATTCATGAAGTTGAGATTTCGAAAGCGTAGACGCACAGAATCTTGTATTCTGTGGGATGCATTCGAATTTAGTCGAGCGAACGTAAGGAGGCAAAAACGCACAGGCCACCTCTTCGCCGCGGAGAGAACCCAAAACTCTACACCCTCGCCAATTGCGAGCACCGTTTGCGGTGGCTTGGAGAAATGTTGGACGGAAGGCCCTGTGGCATGTGAGCATCTTGACCGCAGGATAGGGAATGCGACGCACCCTTCCAGAGCCTCTCCAGGAACTGACAATCCCAGATGGCGTAGTCGCGCATCTGGTCGCCGTAAACGCATGGCGGCTTGAATGGCCTGTCCCTCGGCAGCTGCTTCTCCTGTCCAGACTGCTTAGGGAACGGACGGGCTATGAGATCCCGCCGCGGCTCATTGCGCACTATCATAGTGGCGCTCAACCCAGTCAAGGAGACAGCCAGCTTGGAAAAGAGGGAGCTTGACAGTTCTTCGCACGGTTACGTTAGCGGTCGTTCGTGGCGACCGAAAGTTCAGCTAGGAGATGGGTTCGTTCGGCGTCGCTCTTCGCGGTGGTGGACGGAGTTGAAGGGGCTGATGCTGGCGCTTGACTCGGCAGAGAGGCGGAGAGGGCAGACAGAGTTCGCCGCAGCGGACCGTCCGAGCGCGGGGTAACTGTATGACGGGGACTTTGACGGCGCCCGCCCGATCATATACTTCTAAGACATCCAAATATCCTGCTCTCTCGCCCTGGAACCTGGAGATGGTACGCGCTAAACTTTGATAGAGACGGCGGAATCGCGAATGATTGCAACCAGTACTCTCAGAGAGGAAAGTAGTTAGCGCCAAAGATTCGACAGGCGCGTCGACCGCGATCGCGGGAGCGACCAGCTGATCGCGCGGGACTGAACCGGCCGAGCCCGGCGGCGCGCATTTCCACACCAACCACCACGATGAGCTCGGCACTTCACCGCGCCAGCGTGCGCGCCCTGCGCACCGCACGGTCCATGACACGTGCCGCGTCGACCTCCAACACCCTGAACAGCCCGGCAACGACCTCGACCGCCACTCCGGACGATGCCGACCCTCAGCTTGCGGGCTACCCCCAGCTTCCCAACGTCTCGCGCCAGACCCTCCCGGCTCGCGGCTGGTGGGACATGCAGATGCGTCGTAACATGGGTGACACGGTGCGCCAGTCATTTCCGGGAGAAATAGGGAATGGAAGAGCTCATAATTGAACTTAGCTGCACGAGAGGGAAGAGCTTTACTCGATGTGGGGTCCCGACGTTCCGCACGTAGACCCGAACATGGCGCTTCGCCACTTCACTATCGTCGCATCTGGCTTCGTCACCTTCGCATTCATGTGCAAGTACATCTTGACGCCCGAAATGCCGGCCATCAGGAGGGAGTATCCGTTCGACGGTCTGGTGAAGGAGTTGGGCGGCTTGGAGGAGAACAAGGTGAGACTTGTTGACACTCTTTGCACGGGCGTAAGCTGATGATTGGTATAGCAACGCGTAGAGAGTCAGGAGGAGGACGAGTAAATACGTCCTATGCATCTCTCTGCTTGTTTATCACTCGTTTGCTTGCGGCAATCACATACATAAACTCGCTAGCCTGAGTTCAAGGAAATGCCGGCCGCCGCAGTTGCCTCATGTCGAAGTCAGGACTCCAAGTGTAGGCCCAGTCGGGCTTTCACACCACTAGGTGAAGCGAGCGATTATGATATGACTTCCGTTGCAATGTTTTGTTTCTGTTCTATGCGGTTCATTACTCGCGGGGCGTGTAGTGCACCGTTTTGCAGCAGCATTGAGGTGTACGCGCTGAGCGGAGATCACACTCTGCCGTTTACGAGTGAAGTCATTGAATAGCCGCTCGAGATGCACTCATGCTTCCCAATCTTCGTGAGTCTAGGTCGACTGTTGTAGTTTGCCTGTTGTTTGCATATCGGAACAAGTTTCCGTCTTCGTTACCACGGCTGCTATGAGGCGACAGCACAACCTCTATCGCAAGCGAGTCCTCGGTGGATTGACCGGTCTCTATGTCTCTTGTGGTTATGATATGGACTTGCGCAAGTGGGCGTAGGCTGCAAGTCCTGAAGTGTCCTTCTGGGAGGCCTTCCTAGGATGTCCGGTATACGAACTTAAACCTGATGAGTCCGCCATGAGCCCGATAGGTCTTCGGTATCATGCATGCATGTCCATCAGCAGCTTTGAATTCTGTCAGTATCAGAGTTGGTACCCAGCTCATACAATCCCAGGTTGATTCCCAGCCGAAGCTTCCTTCGCGGCCAAAATGGCGCTGCATGCCCAAGTCCTACAGAAGTACCTGGTCTCGGTTCATATACTGGGGTATAGTATGAACGGGGCGTCCCTACTTTCAATACACCCGCCGTACAGAGGTATAGCCCGTGCGGCCGAGATGCTGCCGAACAGATGTGCGAACAGCGTTGAAAGGGCGGCCGACGATCCTCGAGGTGCCCTCATGCATCCGAGCTCAGCGCGCCCATCACAACATCTAGCCCTGCGCCACTGGAAACATCGAACGCCGATCCCGCAGTATTCCCTCAGAATGAACATGTCGAAGCCGGATCAGAAGGATGGACGCGCACGGGCGTCGAGACGCATATGGGTATCAAACGACATGTGTTCATATTGAATGATATTCGGTATCCTGGTATTCGTCGGATCGTTCATGCCGAATCCAGTACAGGCTGGTTAATGTAATACAGCAACGCGCGGGGGGAGATACACTATCGTACACGCACTCGTAGATTGAGACTCTTATAGCATAGCATCGACAGCAAGGAGGCGATAGTAGTAGATCGAAACAACCAAGAAAGTCGGAGTCGGAGTGAATAGAAAAGAAGAGGAAGCAGAGGATGGGAAGCAGAAGCGAAGTGAGATCGAGGGTTCATGCGACGGTAGATGATGGGCGTGGGGGTTCGTATCATGCAGAGGACATGTTATCGAGGACCTGGGGTACAGTCTCAAGGACGACTTTGGGCAGAAGTAGCGTGCGCGCGACGGTCTCGTCTACGTCCGCGCCGGGCTTCAACTTTGTGCGTGTAACGCACTGCAAACCCAACTCAGTAGTACACAACACCGGACCAACGGGTGCTGCCGCGTTAGCATATGCGTTGACCATGGAGTCCGGCTTGAAGCGCGTGCCGTTCTCGACGAAAAGCAGCTCGAAATTCGTGCTCATGATCTCCTCGTTGATCACACGCGCGAGTTTACACGCGCGGATAGCGATGCGCATGCATTGCCTCCCGAAGCGGGCACGGAGGGCGTCCATCGAGTGTAGGGGTATACCCTCAACGGACGTGCAGCTGCACAACACGAAGATCTCCGTCCAAGCCCGCAAGATCTGCGTGACGAACTCTCCCGCGGCATTTTCCTCGAGTTGCGGGTTCAGGTTCCGGATGTGCTGAAGTGTTAGTGCGCGCCAGCGGGATGATGTCGCTTGGGGCTCTGGATATGAAGTATACGTCAGTTACAGGGCAAATTGTGGCGTGGCACGGTGGCATGACGCACCTTGTTCGCGCACGTCCTCGTACAACTGGGCAAAGAGCTCGTTGGGCATCATAGGTAGCCCAATGCAGAAGACGGAGAGCAGACGCGTGGTACATGTCGCCAGGCAGGTTTGCAGGGCGAGCTGTACTAGTGTTGGATCGTGAGAATGGTCCCTGCCGGCGAGTACTTGCGAGAACGCGGGTCCTAGGCGAGCCGCAATTGACTTCTTCGCATGAGCGACGCGCGGCGCTGTGGCGACTGGTGCTGGCGCGACCGTCGTGACTTCAACGACAGCGGCAGCTAGTTGGATGATTTCCGAGTTGAGATCCTGGACGGCCTCGATGACCTGCGCACCGGACCATCGGTCCGTCTTTGAGAGAAAGACCTCGAGGCCGCGGATCGGCAGTAGCTCGACTGATTTGGGTGGCAGGGGGAGCGGATGAGCGCTGCGGGAGCGCTGTGCAGGCGGTACCGAGCGATTGCGCCGACGCGCAGAGGCGGCATCGTCGAGTACCAGGATGGTCTCACCGTCGCTGTCATAAGCCGTGCGAGAGCTCGCAGGGCTCGGTGCCGGTCGTCGTACAGCGACGGTCTGTGATCGCTCCAGACGTTGTGTATGTGCGCGGTCACGTTCACGCTCTGTGAGGAGCCGCGACCGTTCTCGCTTGAGTTCTTCGATCTCGCGCTCGCGGTGCATCAGACGGTCCGAAGCATCTCTAAGCGCTCGCTCCAGATATCGACAGCGCTCGACGTAACGTGAGACTTCGTGCTTGGAGCGCGAAAGTTCGGCGTGGGCAGCGTCGAGTTCGCCGCGCATGACCTGCATCATGGTGGGCGGATGGTCTGGTGGTGGTACGGAGGTGGAAGTGTTCGAGCGGCGAAGCGGGACGGCGGGTTCCGGCGAAGGCTCCGGAGCATCGCCTTTGGAGTTTGCGACTGTGACGCGCCGACGTGGTGCTCGGCCGCGAGACACCTTGTCGGCTGAAGGGTACGGCTGGGGGCGTGTGTGCTGCGTCTTGTGCGCTGAGTGCGGCGAGATGGCCTTGCCGCCCTGCCGTGAGCCTTTCTGAGGAGGCGGTGCCGGGTCTGCAGCTGCTGGCGTCGGCTTTGGCCGCTTGCCAAAGGTAAAAACCTCGATGGACGAGCCGACCGAGGCGCGGAGAGTCTGGACGTGAACAAGGTTCGCCTTGAGCATGGGGGGCGAAAAATAATGACGGGATGGCGCTCACGGGACAGCTAGAGGAGTACTAGTTGTATATCCAGCCGAATCCGAGCTCGCGAGCAACACGTTTTGTGCGCGATGTTGGGAGGATAAGCGCAAGTTACAACAGTCGCCGCGCCGGAAGCGCTTCTCCTCTCGAGAGCCCGGGCAGGTGCCTTCGACTGATCGAATCCGGCCTCGAGGCTGCCGCAAGCACATCTACACGCCGCAACTGATAATCCCTTGTACACGGACAGCCATTTGGCTGCTGGACGACCTTAACGCTCTATCTCTCCCCGCTTAATCCGAAGCCATGGACACGCGAAAGCCATACAACGGCACACGGCGTGCCCTCGTACTCGCTTTCGATGTAGGCACGACCTTCAGCGGCGTATCCTACGCCATTCTCGAACCGGGAGATATACCCAAGATCCACGGGGTTACGCGGTGAGTAGGCTAACGACAGCCCGATCGTGTTGGCCATGTTCGTGGTTGTGGCAGAACAAGGAAAGATCCTGCGTTCCGGCTCGACGTGCTTTGACTGCGAACGCGTCTTCCCTTCGCGATCTCGACAGCCCGCCACCTTATCCCGACACCCATGACTGTGGCGCTTACTCTCTACCAGATTCCCGGGCCAGGAGTCCGTCGCTGGCAACTCCAAGATCCCGACCAAGGTGTACTATGACAAGAAGGGCCACATGAAGGCCGCTGGAGCAGAAGCCGACGCCCCCTCGCTTGCCGATCTCGCTGAAGATGAGGGGTGGCTCAAAGCCGAGCTGTGAGTTCTTCGCCGTAATGTCCGCAGCTTCGCGATGTTCAACTTCTGCGACATAGGTTCAAGTTGCGCCTACGACCGAGATCTATGAAGCTCAAGATGAACGGCATGCGGCTGCCTCCGCTACCCCACAACAAGAGCGCGACGGACGTGTTTGCAGACTTCCTTGGATACCTCTTTAGGTGTACCCGCACATTTCTCATCGAGACGCATGCGAACGGCCAGGCGCTATGGGATAACGTCGAACGTCATCTCCAGTTCGTGCTCTCGCATCCCAACGGCTGGGAAGGCGCACAGCAGAGCAAGATGCGCCGTGCTGCTGTACTTGGTGGACTCATTCCAGACACGGACGAGGGCAGGTCCCGTGTGCGTTTCGTGACGGAAGGCGAAGCAAGTCTGCACGCGTGTGTACTCAACGGTCTCGCGAACGACGTGCTGCAGAACCCCTCTGGCCACGGGTTCCTCGTAGCAGACGCCGGTGGCGGAACGCTCGACATCAGCTCCTATGCAGTACGCGGAACGTCACCACTCGTAATGGAGGAGATCGCGCCACCTGACTGTATGTCTACATTCTTTCCGCCGGCCCGGCTAGAGCTCATACTAGGTCTCTGCAGGTGTCTTTGCCGGCTCGATATTCGTCAGCAGGAGAGCACGCGAGTTTCTGGAAGGTATATTCCCTCGGTAGCCTGCCTGCCCTGTGCCGCATGTTTTGCTCATTTCTACCTCAGTGAAACTCAAGGACTCGAAATACGGCAAGCAGGATACTCTTGACCATATCACACAACGGTTCGACGAGACGACCAAGCGTCTCTTCCGCGACAAGAAGGAGCTCGCCTACATCCAGTTCGGCTCACCGCTCGACAAGGACCTGGCTGTCGGTATTCGTCATGGTCAGCTCAAACTCACAGGGTATGCCCACGCACTTGTCTACTTCGTACGCGAGTTGTGTGCTCACAAACCCTTAGGAACGAGGTGGCGGCGTTTTTCGAGCCGTCAATCGAGGCTGCGGTGGAGTCAATAAAGGCACAGATAGAGTCTACTAAAGGCGTGGTAAAGGTGCGTTTAAGGTGCCACCCACTCGGAAGTCTCGGGCTGAAGTCTAACCGCGCAGTCCGTGTGGCTCGTGGGCGGCTTCGCGAATAGCGCCTGGCTTTTCACTCAGCTACAGGAGCGCCTATCTACTAGTGGTGTCGTCGTGAGCCGACCCGATAGCGCGACGTGCGTCCTCTTAGCTTATATCATGGCAAACTCGTGTGTTCATTGACCGTTTGACGTTTGATGCAGCTCGAAAGCCGTGGCAGATGGTGCTATCGGCTTCTACTGCGACCATCATGTCTCTGCGCGCATGTCCAAGCACATGTACGGCGTCGAGTTCCTGCGTGAGTATGACGAATCAGACCCAGAGCACGTTACTCGCAAGGACAGGATGTGCGAGTTGCCCTCCGGCCCGAGGTTACTTGCCGATGCCTTCGACTGCATTCTTGCGAGGGTAAGTCATACTCCATCTCTGCCGAGCGGCTCCTGATCTCTCGTCACTCTAGTCCGTCCGCGTAAAGGAGTCGACAACCTTCGTACGCAAGTACTGCACTGAGGTCACCAGCCTCTCAACTCTCTCCGTCTTCGAAGTCGAAATCTGGTGCTATCGTGGACCCGGCTCGACCGTGCCGAAATGGATCAACCGCAACTCGGAAGACTTCTCCACGCTCTGCGTCGTGCAGGCCGATCTGTCGCCCCTGGAGAGCTCTGCACAGCCTAGAAGCGGACGCGGTAACAAGACGTACTGGACGATCGTGTTCAGCGTGGAGATTCATTTCGGATTGACAGAGTTCCGCGCAAGGATCAAATGGGTGGACAGCGTGAGTCTTCCTCTCGAGCTGCTTGCTATATCACAGACTCAACATATCATCTTACAGGGCAAGACGCGATAGTACGTTACAGTTGGCTATCTCGAATGCAATAAGACTAACACAACTATCCATAGTGGTCCCGCGACGATCGTGTACAACGAAAGCGGTGTGCGCGGTGACGAAGATGACTACGAAGGCGCACCAGACGCACCGGAGGACGACACAGTACACAGTCAGGATCGATTTCAGTATTCAAGACAGACCTCGAGGGCGCCTTCGCGTGATGAATCCCAGCCCACCCCGATCGCCGAACAGCAGGTTCCAGTAGCTGTCCCGCCCATGCAGGGCTCTACGCGCACGGGGCGCACACGCTCTGCTGTACCTTCCGCTGCACCGACTACAAGCTCGCGCGCGCCCGGTACAACACGCTCGCGTGGCATCCCGCCCGGCATCGATATCCCGACTCCCGGCCCGATCAGCCCGAGCACCTCCTCTGGTTCGGCTGGACGCCGTATCGGCGAGCAGCTCAAGGAGGTGTGGGGAAGCGTGCCGACGACGCCGAGCACCGTGCGATCACCTACCGACCAACAACCTCCCGTCAGCGTCGCAGCGACTCTTGCGCCCGTCCAAGAGGAGGGTGGCTCGCGCAGCCGTGGGGTCCCGACGCCTCGTGTACCCTCGCCACAACCATCCCAGCCACCCGCACCCGTCTCCGCAGTTCCTTCGAAGGCGCCGTCTCAGATCTACGCCTCTGCCGTACCAAGCAGACCAGGTTCAGCTGCTGTCCCGAGCCGTCCACCTTCAGTACCAGCTGTTCCGAGCGCGCCCCGCTCGCAGATCTATGCAAACGCTGTGCCGTCGCAAGCTCCCTCGATCAGCGTCGAGCCTCCACCGGCGCCGGGATCGGCTGTACCCTCAAGAGCAGGCTCTCAGATCTACGCGAACGTCCCGTCCAACGCGGGCTCGCAGCGCGGCGGCGTGCCTTCGAAGCCACCAAGTCAAATCTATGCATCCGTCCCATCACAGGCAGGCTCCGTCAATGCGCCACTGCCCGCGCCGCCTTCGGGTGGTCACTCGCGCACTCCGTCGCGCTTGGGTAGCCAAGTTCCAACGCGCGCACCATCGGCCGCCCAAGACGCTCCACCCGCGGTCTCGCGAGGCTCGCCCTGGGGTTCGAAGGTCCCGTCTCCCATGGTCAGTAGAGCGCCCACCGCCACTCGCTCTGCGTCGCCTGTACCTCCACCCCCCGGCGAGGAGCAGACTCTTGAGTCCATCACGGAGGCGCCGCCCGTGCCGCCTGAGGCTGAACCTGTAGTCGAGGTCCCCGCTGTCGAACCAGAGCCCGTCCCTGAAGCAGCCGCAGAGGAACTCGCTGCCGAGCCTGAGCCTGCTCCTGAGCCTGAGCCCGAACCCGAGCCGAAGAAACCGTCGAAGCCGCTCACAAAGGCCCAGCAGCGCAAGCTCGAGCGGGAGCAGAAGGCCGCGGCTGCATTGGCCAGCAAGCAGGCGAGCAAAGCTGGCACACCCGTGGCGAGCAAGTTGCCGACGCGCGCACCTTCGCCGTTGCCCGAGGAGCAGGCGGCACCCGAAGTTGCCGAGCCGCCCGCACCCGAACCGCCCGCCGAGTTACCGCCTGTCGAAGAGCCCATCAGTCATGGCGGCATACCTGGTGGTTTCGGCGATGAGGACGATGGCCCGCCGCCGCCGCCGCCACCTGCACCGGAACCATTGCCTGAGCTTGCTGCCGAGCCAGAGGTACAGGAGCAACCTCCTGCACCTCCTGCGCCGGCGTGGGGTTCTGCTGCGTCTAGGGCGGCGTCGAGGCCTGGTTCGAAGGTGCCAAGCGTTGCTCAGAGCAGGGCGCCCGCGAGCAAGTGGGGATCGGCGGCCCCGAGCGTGCGCGCCGCATCTCCGGTTCCACCCCCACCCGAGAAGTCACCATCACCGCAACCAAATGCAGATGCCGGAATTGGTCTCCCGTCATTCTTGAATGCCTCTCCGGGAGAGGAGAGCGGCGGGTTCGGTCTTGGTGGACTGCTGGGCGGCGCGGCCAAGAAGGCGTCTGGATGGGGCTGGGGAGGCTTCGGCGGCGGTGCGAGTGGTCAGACGAGCCCGAATCTTCCGCCGGAGGTGCCGAAGAAGAAGATCGACACTGCCTGGGGAGCTGCTGCTGCTGCACCTGCCTCTACTGGGGGCAGCGCGTGGGGCACCGCCAACGAGGCGGAGAAGGCGCCGAAGAAGAAGATGGACAGCGCATGGGGAACCGCTGCTGCTACACCCGCGGCTCGCGACAGCGCGTGGGGCGGTGGCGGAGACCAAGAAGAGGAGAAGGCGGACGAAGGATGGGGCTTCGGCGGCGGTAACAAGAGTAAGGGCAAAGGCAGCGCATGGGGCGCAATGTCAAATAACAACAACTCTGGGTCTCTTGGTGGGGCAGGTTGGAACGACACCACCAGCTTCTTCGATACCCTCGGCTCTGATCCGGCCCCTGTTGCTGATGGGTTGCACCTCGACACGACTGCGGGAGCGGGGAGTGGCGAACAGGCGCCTATATCCGCTGTTCCTTCGTCTGCATTGACAGACAACTTCTCGCGTCTGACGACGCCTCCGGGCGAACGGGCTGATGGCGGCGAGGAACCGCCGGCGCCAGAGCCAAAGGAAGATGAGAAGAAGGAAGAGGAGGATGATGACTGGTGGAACGACTCGAAGAAGAAGAAGAAGGGCGGCAAGGGAGTGGCAGGAGGAGCAAACACTGGCGCTGCGAACACGGGCGCGAGTACCCCGGCGACTCGGGGCGGCAAGGGCAAGAAGGGCAAGCGCTGAGCGCAGCTCTCAGTGCCGAGTGTCATGCATGTCATGTCTGCTAGCGGATGATATGCGTTCCCGTTCGTTGCTTACCTGTATGATCTATGTCGATTTTCTGTGTGACTCCTCTGTTGTATGCATTATGCTCTGCTCATCCATCTCTGTTGTAAATCGTGTAAAAATAGCGTGTAGCACTTTGGTAATAGATCATCATTTCAGTCTTTGGAGCCTTTCGACTGTGCACAGTGGGATGTACGATATCGGTGATAGATATACAGAGTGCGATCAGATAAGATAAACTGACGGCCTAGCCGATGACTCAATCGCTAACCCCTTCCTCTTCCTCGGCGTCGTCTTCATCCGACTCCAGATCATCTTCATCCTCGTCCTCATCATGCGGGATCAGCATATGCAGATCAGTCTCGCCGTCAGACTCGCCGTCATCGTCGAACTCGTCCCAGCTGTTGTCCGAGCCCCAGCCGTCCTCGTCCTCGGTGTCGTCCGTGATGGCGGTTCGGAAAATACCGTCGTTCAATAGCATCCCGGCTTTCAGCGCTGCGCTCCGACCGTCCCAACCCAGACCATCTCCGCCCAAGGAGTTTTTGAATAACGCGAAGATATCAGGATTCGTCATCGTGCACCTCAAGACGGTTAGATGCTTCAGATTCCCTTTCTGTTTTCGATCCGCGAGCATCACCGCAAAGGATACCGGGTCGAGGGGCTTGACAGAGACGCTCTTTATTGGCGTCAGTGCCACATGATGTAACACAAGCGACTCGAGCTCGGGGAATAGATGATTAGGCTCGTCGGTACCTCGCACGCGACAGGAGTGCAGGAAGGCGCGGGCGGGAAAGTGCGTCAAGGATAAGTACCGGACCTCGCGCTGAGCAGCGAAGATGAGGTTGTAGCTTGGGATCAAGGTGGAGAGTGCCGGTCGTGGTTCGGTGGCGTTCAGCCAGGTGTCGTCCGTGAGAAGAGTCAGCATACGAATGCCGCGTAAGACGTGAATCTCGTTGAACAGGATTCGAGCAGTCGATATAGCTGGTAGATCGGTCTCGTCTTGCCATGATATATCCAATCGCAATATGTAACCTCCCAGCCTCTCCTCGCGACAGTCGTAAAGGACGGCGTCTCTTCCGGAAGGAACTGTGAAGTCCTGGCGTAGGTGCCTCCCCATGAGGGTCAAGCTATCCTTCTCGCCTGTGCGAGGAACGCAATGTACAATACGGAAGGCCTTGCCATCATCTACACACTCTCCGTAATGTTCGTCCAGTACGCCCGCGAGCATCTTCAGTAGCATCCCCTTGTAGGTCTTACTCCCGCCTGATGATGCGTGAGCGTCGAGATGCACGCAGCAAGTCGGCGGAAAGTGGACGAATGCGAGGATCATGTTTATGGTGACGAGTGTATCGCGAAGCGAGAGGACGCGCAGGTTTGGGAAGAGTATGTGTTTGTCGTGGTCACTGGGTGAATGGGGCGTTGATAGTATGGAGGAACGACTGCCATCTGGCATCTCCGCGCAATGCATATACAGCTCCCTCAAGTTCGGCAATTGCGCGAGCGTCTCCATGAGATGATCCATGACCCAGAAGGTGTTGCACATGTCGATTAGGTGCAAGACGCGAAGGCTGGCCCCGAGGAGTGGATTAGAGCAATGTATGTATAGACGTCGCACTCTGAGCGTGTGCAGCTTGGGAGGTTTTTGGCCGGTGAATATTCTGGCGCTGATACCATCCTCGTCGGACAGAGCGTCACCGTCGTAGTTTATCCCGGGTCCTTCAAGGCATAGCTCTTCTAATTGAGGCGCGGGAAAGGCGTTCAGCATCTTATGAACACGAAGAGGTGGTAAGACGCTTGGAGTAAGACCGCTTTCCGGCGCCTGAAGCTCATCGTCGCGTTTGTCGAAGGTCCAATACAGCTTCTTCACGTGCGGCATCATTTCCTTTGAAAGCAGCATCTGTTGTCGTCCCTGCGTCAAAGGAAGAGGTCGATCGACGAAGCCAGTGTTGACGACAAAGGTGAGAGAACGACCCTGCGAGCGCTTGAGGAATAGTTCCATGGCGGGTATATTGTGAGTAGGTAGGCAAGACCACCATTCCGGCTTTGACAGTGCAACTTCGCGCCAGAAGCGACAGACCCCCGTGAGCGCGACGAGAGTTGACCATGGAATTTCGCGATATTTTCCGTCGTATGCCTTTCGAATGAACTTGTAGGCTATATGAATGCGAAATACTTGTTCGAAAACTAGAGTCAAGATTTCTGGAGGAAGTCGCTCGTTGCCACCTTGTCCTCAGATCAGCTTGAGTGAATCTTGAAGACTGTCTCCATGATCCACATACTCGGAGGGGTATCGTTGGGTGGTCTATCAGTCATAGACGCTGCAGCGTGCGATGAAGCTACATCCATGATGCAAGGGACACGAGTAATCCTTTAGGTTGAAACCGGCTAATGAAGGGAGGAGAAAGGATCTAAGTACGCGCGCAGCGGAATGGTGCCCAAAAGGCCGTGGGAAGATTACCATACGTAAGTGAGCGGAATGTGCTCACCAGTACTCTCTCGGGAAGAATAGAACTCTTCGAGATCGTATGGTCAAGTAAGTACTACATATACTACTCGCGTGCTCCCGTCTATGCACCACGCGTATCCATATACAAGCAGCTCGGCGTGAATACCTTCGCGGAGCACCGGAGGCTGATCGGATCAGAGTTCCACGTGGTTTAATATTGTCACTGGCTTGCTGGTGTCGCTGACTTGTGCAGCAACCATGGCAAGCTTCTTGATTTTGAGTACTCACCAGGCTCGCTTTCTTCCTATCGACCATTTGTCAGAAGTGTGCTGTGTGCCTACGGAAAGAACTTGAGAACGTACCCACAGACGAGGACATTTATCGTTGCCGGTTCGGGTGTCACCACGGTCGTCGCCAAGTCATAGTGCCTGGAGACCCCGCGAAATGGCATATTCCCAGGTACTCCTTTTGCAGACGCTATGTGCAGAGCTGTATGCCTAAATGACGAAGGTTAGAGGTTGACTCGTAGGCATTGTACGTGGCTTCATAGGGTATATGCTGGGAGACAAATAAAGGCCGGAAGAATAACGGTGGAAACGATCATTGTTCAACGCAACGGGCGTTCGTCGCCGAGAACGCAGGCACATCAGTCTAGTGCACACGCGCGCCCGCCTGTTCTTGGGACGTTCAAAAACAACCCTCGTTCTTGCTTCCATCTCCTTCACGGTTTCTCGCCCCCAGTTATCTTGCCCGGCTCCCGTCTCTCACCTCTCGTGCGCCACCACGATGTTCACCACGCTCATTTCTGCTGCCGCTCTTTCTCTCCTCGCCGCCCGCGGTGCCATGGCTGACTTCTCAGTCAACTCGACTGCGTTCACCCAGGCAAGTGAAATGCTTACTTGAAATGTCGATAGCTGGAATACTGACCGGATAACGCAGTGTGCGTCCACGCACATCACTTGGTCGGGCACCTCCAACCCCGTGAACATCCTGGTCGTCCCTGCCGAGGACCCTTGCGACGACACCCTCGCGGACCTCGGTGACCACTCCAAGACGTCCATGAGCTGGAATGTCAGCCTCCCCGCTGGCACTCAGCTTCTCATCTCTGTTGAGGACTCGGAGGGCGATGAGGCTTGGTCCGACACCGTACGTTCCCCATCAGCTTAGCTTGGTCTGAAGATAGTAATCTGATCCGTATCCTTCATCTGTAGATCACCGTCCAGCCCAGCTCGGACGACTCGTGCTTGTCCGCGGCTCAGCGCGCGGCCCTTCCTGTTGTCAGCTCGTCGGCATCTGCGGCGGCCTCCACTATTGCCGTCTCCTCCTCGGCATCGGCCGTTGTTCCCGAGTCCACCGCCGTCGCGTACGTCGTATCCCGTGTACATCGTTGATGGCCCACTCATATTATCTCGTAGCGTCGTCACGGCCACCGAGTCCAGCGCCGCATCGCCGTCCGTCACTGCTGGTGCGCTTGGTGCTGCCAATGCCGGTATTGGCCCGAGCGAGTCTTCCGCCGCCGGTCTCAGCCGTGCTCCCTTCGCCCTTGCGGGTGCCCTCGTGCTCGCAGGTGCCGCGCTTCTCTAAGCACACACTAACGCTTATCCCCCCGGAAAGTTGGATACCCGGCGCCGCGCGCCGTCCGGTCATTTCTCCTGGTTCTCGGTCATTATTGTCGTCTGCAAGTCAAGTTCTCGCTCGGTTCGACGGCGCAAGTCGCCGGCTGGCTGGCTAGCTTTCGCATGTTCCTTTCCCTGCTGTATCTACGGTAATCATGCGTTGCGTCCGGGCGTTGCTGCCCCATTGTAAAATACGATGTTGCGTGGCTCGTAGTCACCGCTCGTGTTAGTTGAATTCTATATCGTGACTCGTGGGCCCATTTCCCAAGCAAGCCTATAAAAATGGGGGACATATGTTCGAGCTCCGGCTCTGCCGACCTCCAGGCAAGAGTACATATGAGGTCCAATCAGGTATGGGTCATTACCGACAATGCAATGCCCGAACACATCAATAGGCAAATACACGGAGATGAACGTAGGATACAGTGTGAAGATGCGAGGTGATTCCTGGCTGCGCGAACGGCTGGCTAATGGTACGCCTGTCAGCTCTGTCACATCTGCGCGTATTAGGCACATCGCACCTTAGTATAGCTTGGTTTACATTGAGGAGAATGCTGCTACGGTTTTCTCTCTGACTCGTCCCCAAATTCCATGATTGTTCGCGAAACAAGATCAACGTTTTCAAGGAACGCATTCAGGGTAAGCCTCGCCAGCCTCACTGTCAACGTCTCGAATGTCCTACAGCCCGCCCATCAGCAAAATTCGACGAAGGGTTATATTTGACGCACGCAATCAGTACATGATCCTCAACGGAGAGCACGCGCTTGACGGCGTGCGGTTGCAGTTCTCGGTCGACATCGATGACCTGTTTTGCGAGAACAGCGTGTGCGGGTGTGGCGAACGGGATACGTGCTGATCTTCACATTTGGATGTCGGCAGGTTGTACGCCACTGAGAGGCGAGCAGGCTCACACTGTGTGCCAATCGGATTGGGAGGACATGGTGGCAGGAGCGAAGACTAGCCTGCGCATCGGTTTGATCGCGCGCCACCCGGCTTCGGAGACGATCTTGAACGCACGCAATCCTTAACGATTTGCCCTCTGAGCATGTAGATTGCATGAATTGAACGCAATCTTTCAAGGTATATGATATGGGGCGCAGCAGACTACGAGTAATACTGTATGAGGTGTACTCAGATCGCCGTGGCAGCCGCATCCTGCATCTCCGCCGGTTTCTCAGAGTCTGTTAGTGCAGCAAGTTCTTCTGAAGGTTCCGTAGGCCGCGCATGGGCCTTCCATCCCGCTCTGAAGGAACCTAGAGCGGCTGCAAGCCCAAATAGGTTCACCAGGAACTGTGGATGATCTCGGTCAGGCCTCTTTCAATGTGATTATAGACTTGAGCACGTACGTCATTCTTGATGAGTCCCTTCTCCAGAGACCTAATATGCGCAATGAGGATAAGCCGTAGACTAGACGTGTCCCGACTTACCAGTGAATTGTCAAGGGCAGGTACGCCAAGTTGACCGCCAACTCGTTATACCATGCGTCCCATCGACGCTTTATTTCAGCATGCTCGGGCCCTCGGACTTTCTTGAGTGCACGCTGACGCTTGATGAGAAGCGCGCGGTCTTCCCGTAGATGGAGAAGTTGCAAGATAACGTAGACAGACCAGCAACGCGTCGACCAAAGTGTAAGCTTCGTTGGACTGAGTTCGTACTTGTTGGCATCGAACGTAGTCGATCTCTTCTCCGCAACTACTGGAAGGGGAAGAGAGATTGACGGGGACATGACGCCATGTGTGATGAGATAGTAAAGGTGGTCCAGAGGGTAAAAGGCGAGCATGGCCCAACCCTGCGTGCGCTCGATGTTTAGTAGTTTGCGCGTGGGTGGTGGTGCACGTTCTAATGCGACTAGCCACTGGATGATGGGTAGGATACCTGCAGCATCTTAGTCCGGAAAGCCATTCAGCCAGCGTGTAGTCGAGACATACCCCACATTCCCCACAAAGCCCGCGCGTCCGAGATCAGACTGGCCAACTTGGTGAGAGACTCTGCTGACGAGCTGGTGGTAGTCTTCCTCAAGCCGGCGCGTTGCTGAATGCGAGCTCGCAAGTGCAGGATCGGTACGAGTACTTTGGCTCCATATTGAATGACCTAGACGCCATAAACCGATGGACAATGTGGTTGCATGTCAAGGCGCACCATAAAGAGTTTACTGTGAGTATAACATAAGCAAGTCTTCGGATAGCTCATGCCTTAAAACGCACTCGCTCCCGCTCCAAGTGCTCAAATATCTCAACAAGTGGTCAAGTGTCTCAGAGGGCGCGACGCGCGAGAATGCGCCCAGTGTTGCATCGCTCAGACTCGTCAGGTCAAGTTTCTTCGGCGGTGGCGCGTCCATCACAGCAGTGAGCGGGCAGAGGTCGTAGTACTGGTTCAAGCACAGATCCTCGAGGAGAAGCGTGCAGCTCGCAACTGCCGAAGTCCTCACGGTCGATATCACGAGCTTGGCGGGATGGTCTCGTGGCAATGATTCTTGCTTCCTCCCTCCATCTACGCCAAGTCATAGTTGAATATAATACTACTAGACGAATGTCTGGTGCTTGTTCACAACCCCGTTCTGTTCATCCTTCCCCTGTAAATGCCGATGTCTACCCGTACGGCTAGCACCGTCTTCAATGACTTCATCAAGGCTCCAGCATGTACTTAGTTCGGCAGAAGCCTGCGCATTCACCTTTTCTCCGCGGTCCGCTACCGGCCTGTTCATATGACACGGACACGAACAGTCCACGCTTCTTCCGCTCTCAGCATCCGAGCGTCCATCGAGCCGACCCAGACCTGATTTGCTACGCATCTGCTGTTGCTACGATGCGGGCGTGCACTCATGATCTGGTCCAAATACCCTCTGATCATCCTCGGGGTATACTTGGACGTTGAATCGTCCATAAAAGTGTACGGCACACCACGTCGCTTGTCTTTCACCGTCACCGACGGCAGCTCTCTCAGCATCATGGCCCGCCTAGCTCGTCTCTCTGCGCTTCTCTCGCTTCTTCCGCTCATTGCTGCGAGGCCCAGGGCTCGTCAGTCGAGCGGTCTCAACGACCTAGCTCAAGCTGCGGGCAAGAAGTACTTTGGCTCAGCGACGGTGAGCTCAGCACTATCTTCTGGTGTATGATGTATTGAACAGGTCTCAGGACAACCCCGAGCTTACAGACTCGGCATACGTTGCCATCCTGAGCGAGAGCTCCGAGTTCGGGCAGATCACTCCCGGAAACAGCTGGAAATGGGTGAGTAGGACTGCAACACGGAGTACAATGTTCGTAGTCTGACTGTCGGGGCAGGATGCGACGGAACCATCGCAGGGAACGTTCACGTTCACCAACGGAGATGTAATTCTGGACCTCGCTGAGTCGAATGGCCAGCTTCTGAGAGGTCACAATTGTGTTTGGTACAACCAGCTTCCCAGCTGGGTGACCTCGGGCTCCTGGACCGCGGACACACTGTCCGAAGTTGTGTCCAACCACTGCGGCTCGCTCGTCAGTCACTACGCAGGCAAAACGTACTCCTTTGATGTTATCAACGGTCCGTATGTTTTTCTTCCTGAGGCTTTGAAGTTGAGGCTGATAGTCTTTCACAGAGCCGTAAGCATCAGGGTCACTCTTGTCCATGACTGTACTCACTGCGAGCCATCAGGTTCAATGACGACGGCACTTGGCGTGCGGATGTCTTCTACAACACTATGGGCACAGATTATATCCCCGTCGCACTAGAGGCCGCACGTGCTGCGGACCCCGACACAAAGTTGTACATCAACGACTACAACATCGAGTCTCCCGGTATGACTGGCCGCATCATACGAAAGGAACCCGCTAAATGTCGGGGATAGGTGCGAAGGCGACAGCTATGGTCAACTTGGTCTCAGAGCTCAAGGCCAACGGCACACCGATCGACGGTGTTGGTCTTCAAGGTCACTTCATCGTCGGTTCCACACCCTCGACTTCCTCCATTCAATCAGTGAGTTCCTTGATGAATCCATGCAGCATCGCCCATTGACGCGTCACCGCGCTCTTCTAGGTCATGCAGTCGTTTGCCGATCTCGGTGTTGAAGTTGCGATTACTGAGTTGGACATTCGTATGACACTGCCTGCTACGGATGCCCTTCTAGCTCAGCAGAAGACGGACTACCAGAATGTCATCGCCGCGTGCATGGCCGTCGACGCGTGTGTCGGTGTGACCGTCTGGGTGAGTGGACATAAGCCAATTCTCAGAGACCGCTCTGACCTATGGATTGCAGGATTACACGGATAAGTACTCTTGGGTGCCAAGCACGTTCTCTGGTCAAGGAGCAGCATGCCCGTGGGACGAGGTATGTCGCACCTTGGAGTGTTGTACTGTATCACTAATGCCTGACAATGATAGAATCTGGCGACGAAGCCCGCGTACGATGGTATCGCAGCGGCGTTATCAGCTTGATGGGGACACCAAACAATGATATTGAAACAAGTCATGTTTTACTAGTGCTAAGCGCTTATCGTGACCGTGCTTGATCACGACTACCAAAATCCGAAGGAAGACCATACGGAAGGCATAGGAGTTTAAGAAAGTGAGGTAAAACGGGCAAAGCGGGACTCGTCAGGCAGCTGGAATGCAAGCCGCTGTCGTCCGAGTGGTATCCGCTCTGGCGTAGGCATGAGTAGACGTTTACAGCAGGTAAGCGGAGTAATCGAAGGGGGTCGATGCCTTGAGTGCCTCCTCTGACACGGCAGCGAGAGCCGTGAAACCGCTCTCTCCGATGCCAACCTCGAAGTCAGATCCATAATGAGGGTCATTGTTCGGGATGACCTGTGAGAATTGATGAATATATTTGGCAACACATAATGAAACCTTGCTGCGCGTACCTGCCAGTACAGCCATGGAACGCCGGCGGCGGTAATCTGGCGGGCCCAAGTCTGGATGTTCGAGTTACGCGTGCTAGTGGAGAGTGCGCTACCGGTAGGACAATCGTTGTTCGACGTGGTATAGTAGCAGGCGCCCCTACAGAAAGCCTGAGTTATCATCATTGGGGCCCGACGGGTTTAAAACATACCACTCTTGGAAAAGAAGCTTCTTGCCGGCTGCAGTCGCCTGGTTGACATATCCTTGGATAGTAGACGTCGAGAAGTCTCCGGTTCCATAGGCATGGATGGCTACGACGTCAAGCGCCGCGCAGTTGAGCCATCCGGACATGACGGACTCTGCGAGCCACGACTCGCCGCCAGTGGTGACCAGGATCTGAGTGGATGTTAGATTGCCAATAAGTGCAGAGAAGATACACGAGCACCTACACCACTGTTATCACCGATGACGCTCTTGATAGTGGTGGCTCTGTCGCACTGCCACTGCTGATGGTCGGTGATATAGTCTATGCCCTGCATGCAAAGGTTATGATGGTTTGATGGCAATAGCGTCCGTAGATACTTGCCTTGCCAATCATAGCCTCGTTCTCAGCTTCAAAAGCAAAGATGTACTCTACGGGGCCATCAGCCAATCGCAAGTACAGCGATTTGAAGATAGACAGACGGTTGAGCTCCTTCCATGGCTTGCCGAGTGTACTGTGCACATGGTTGAGGATGTGCTTGAGACGATTGTCGAATTGACTGGTCGCTTGAGACTCTTCGTAGAAACTGATAGAGAGGTTAGCCCGATAGCTCAAACGGACTTCAGTCACTACATACTATCCTGTGCCGTAGATCTTGCCATAGACGTCAGGCCGGCTGAGGGCATTGAAGCTATGCATGCTGATGAGGAGCTAAGACAGATGGTGGCGATATATTAGACAGAGTGTGGGTGAAAACGGACATAAGGGGCTTACCTTGATCCCTCGCGCGTGACTGTCGATCATGAATGCGTCGAGAAGATTGAGGACTGTGTCGTCAAACGTGCCAATAGAGTTCGGCTCGAGGTCGTTGTAGGACGTGATGGGAGTGTTCTTCGTCGAGGCAGTGCTCTGACCGTCGAGCCAGACGCGGAGGACCTTCATGCCAGCACCCTGAAGCGCACTGTGGTCTCGTGAGTGAAGGCAGAACGTACGGCGAATAGGAGAAACTAACTCGAGATACGTCGCGCGCTGTGACGCAGAGAGGCCAGCAGCATAATAGAGGTTAGTGCCCGCGAAGGACGTGGCGGCAAAGGCTGCGCGCGCGGTGGCCAGGAGAAGAGCGTAGGAGAGGAGCTTCATCGTCGGATGAGCGGAGAACTCGACGTCTTGCACATTGCCTTTATGAATGGCAGCGCCTATTCCTGGATCAAACATGAGACGAGATCATATGGCGTTGTTGGGTACGTTTACAGCATGCCCAGAGTTCCTCCGGTTAGAATGGCTACATAAATCTTGAGAAGTTGTAGGACACCAGGTGGAGGTCCGAGGTATTCGTGGCCGCCGTCTCATCGACCCCGGTGGAGAACGAACCGGTCTTCTCTGATTGCGGGTTTGAAACAATGTACTGCCGCTTATGGTGCTCACATAGGTCATATCGGGGCAATAGCTCGAAACGCCGGTCAGGAAGAAATATATTCAAGCGTTCGTGACTGCGAACGGCGTCGTAGAGTCGAGAAGGAATCTTATCGGGATTCCCTGCTCCCTAGGAAACAGCTTGAACTGGTGAGCGCTATCCGGAAACAACCCTCAGTCCACGCCCAGTTCGTCCTGGGCTCATAAAAGCATATGGCATGTCAGATAGACTTGTATAGTGGTATGATGCCATGTGCAGAGAACGTTCGGTTGTGAAGGCCGTCGGTTCATAGGCATGAACATCATGACATCAAGATGGAATTCTGTTCTGCGACGCGCTACGATTGTGGTGATAGCGATGATGCGGGGGAAGGAGCTGGGGGTTGTGGCGGTTGGGCAAGGCCGTAAGTCGCCGCATTATTCCCTCTGAATCTCTTGCGCATGTCAAGCTACAGTAGTGTTCAGCCCGACAGCATACAACATAGGAAGCGATAGCGCGCACCATCCCTCGCTTGCACTCGAAGGTTGCTTGACGCAGATTCCGGCATTCCAACGGTAGGTCGTCGAAGTGGTTCTTGAGGCAATCAGAGGGTAGGTTCCCATCTTTAGCCACACAGTCTGAGCGCATCAGACATTCCTTGAGCGCGTAAAGTAGGGGCTCGCAGTAATTGGACATGGCGCCGAAGGACAAGTCGTGTTCTCGACGAGGGCTTCGTCGCAGGCCGGGCCGAGTCAGCCGGACCTTGCAGTCACTGAGGACGCGAGTTGTTCCGTGTCATCACCTAGTATGTGTACGTGCAGTCTTGACACTCCAGCGCCAGTAAGGCTTCAGGTACATCTTAATGGACAGTTCATGTCTCATTGTACTAGTAATGATTGTCCTGAATGGCACAACATACGATGCGGACTTAAAGCTCAGTAAGACGCGGAAAGGGTTCGTGAACGGGTCGCATACGCTAGCTGAGGTGAGGCCGGTGAGGGCTGAAAGGATCGAGTCAAAGCACGGTCTGAACCCATTCTTCGTAATGGTAGCTGTACACGGTGAAACTCTCCAATTTGGGTGCTATCTAGTGTCGTTCATGAACATTATTGACGCTGCGGTCAGACTTTGCCTGTCTTATCAACGCAAAAAAATAGAAGCCTTTATTCTCACCACGAACCCAGCGTACAAATAAGAGTACTACAGCATACCTACCAACATCACTCCCTGGAAACCACAAACACGCAATCCATCGACTCTTCCCAACGCTCAATCGAACGTTTCAAGGAGACGACATGTACGAGCAATAGTCTCCCGGCTACTACTAGTCGAAGTTGCCGGTGAAGATCGTCCCGTCAGGGTTGAGCGGCACCAGGTTCTGTACCATGTAGGGAGAGTAGTCGAAGCTGTCGCGCCTGCATGATACTGTCAGTGAATGGAAACGCCTCCGAGTCTGTCCCGACTAGACTGCACCTTTGGTTGCCATTTCCGGTAAAGATCGTTCCGTCAGGGTTCAGCGGGACGAGATTCTGGACCCTGTAGGGGGTATAGTCGAAGTTAGCGCGCCTGCACGATAATGTCAGCGAACCTTCTGTAACGAGGACAACCTTTTTGAAAATTGAGCACACCTTTCGTTGTTGTTGCCGGTGAAGATCGACCCGTCAGGGTTCAGAGGAATGTGATTCTGAATCATGCTGGGATCGAAGTAAAAGTCAGAACGTCTGCACAACTATGTCAGCGAACCTTCTGTACCGAGGCCAACCTTTTGAGCACACCTTTGGTTGTTGTTGCCGGTGAAGATCGTTCCGTCAGGATTCAGGGGAATGTGATTCTGGATCATGCTGGGGTCGAAGTAAAAGTCAGAACGCCTACATCGCAATCGTGTCAGCGTAATACTATGCCACAATGGGGCCGAGATCCACACCTGTTGTTGTTGACACCAGTGCGGATGGTCCCGTCGGAGTTCAGCGGAACGTGATTCTGAATAAGGCTGGGGTCGAAATAAAAGTTAGAACGCCTGCGTATATCTGTGTCAGCGCGCCTGTATCGGAACCCGAGACTATATCCGCACCTTTGGTCGTTGTTGCCGGTGAAAATCGACCCGTCAGGGTTCAGCGGAATGTGATTCTGGATCATGCTGGGATCGAAGTAGAAGTCAGAACGCCTACGTATATATCCATGTCAGCACACCCTCCACGAACGTTATATGCACGCCCACGTACTGAGTGAGTCTTTCATTGATGTTGGCCACGAGTGGAGGAATGCCAGCATAGCCAGAGCCGCCATAAGGGTGCCTTCTGAAAGGGTTCAGAGGCAGGTCTGTATGTATTCACCATGTTTGTCGCTCACTTCTTGAAGTGGGAAAGCGGGGCAGCAAGGCTGATTGAAGTCGAGACACAAAGGATGGCGAGAGTGACTAGGGAAGCGTGCATGGTGTCGAAAAGGTCGGGACTGGTTTCAAAGGCGCTGCGAATGTCGGCCGGCGACGGCAAGAAACGTATACTCAGGTGTCAGGGAGGGACTAGAAGGCGAAGACGTGAAGAGTGACCGGCACTCGAAGGGGTCGTGAACACAGGGCGTAAGGAGTCCGAGAACTAAGTATACCGTAGTTCGCTATCCCGCCTTTTATGACCTGTAGAGAACGCCAACAGCAGGTACATCACGACCGTGAAGGCCGGGTGAGGTGCCAAGGTTCAAGTGAGTGATGCGGACTCTGACTTTCACACCGCCAAACCGATGACTGACACGTTTCAGCGCCTGTTATTTCCTGAGTAGTTGTTCAAGCATGACCACCGTCGTCTTCACCCGAGATTGCCGATCAACCAGATGCGCCGGCGCATGATATGTGCGACGGCGCTGACAGTTTTCGTGGATGTGAAGATTGTACGCTGCGACAACAATCTTGTACCCTGGCGTTGCGATCCCGGGGTCGACGGTCGGTCTGGTAGCTTGCAGACGGGTTGCATCAATGGTAGTTGTTCTCCTCAATATGAGATACAATCAAGCGACAGGGTTTCATCGCAACCTAGGCTAGCAGCACAGAGCACGATGGGCGTGATGGCCAATAGCTGCTCAGAGTTCGTCTACCGTATCGGTATGTGAGCACACATTCTGCCACTGAATAACAGATCGCCAACTGGGCTACGTACTCCGCTTCTTCCGTTGCTTCTGCTCCTGCACGTCGACCTTCATTACGCCATCGGCACGGCTGAGCGCCTCAAGAACGGCGGCCTTGTCCTGATCCCATGCTGAACGCGGCAAGCTGACAACTTGAACGTCTGGCAAGGCGCCCACCTTGCCGCGCGAGCTCACTCAGCCGGCCTGTGACGATGCGGCGTAATCTCGTCGAGAGCTCACCGGACCAACATGCGATAGACCTAGAGGGCACTGGGGTTCGAAAGAAGAGTCTTGGTTCTCCGAGCGAAGTGGCTTACCTGGGAATATCGAGGAAAGTGAGGCCGGATTTGCCTGATAAGGCGATGTCGGGTGGAGAACGACGGTGAGGACGGCGTTGTTGGTGTAGTCCATCGTTGCACAAAGCACGGTCAAGATTATCCTTGCGCGACCTCAGACGTCGAAGTCAAGTATGGGAATCCGACTACCAGCGCCAGAGGTCGCGATGACGTCGGCCTGGTTCGACTTCGACCTCCAACTCGCTGCAAACGCGTGTGCTTTCATCTTACAAGAGTTGTAGCTCCCGCAGCCCTGGGGATTTAGTTATGGAAGACAAGGTACATCGATAAACAAGTGCATTTGGTGAGAAGTACGCGAGAAGAACCCTGGGTCAACATGGCGGTGTCTGCAAAAGAGGCCGAGTACGGCTCCTTGACGGGAGCACAACGCCTCGAGGCGTCTGCACGTTGAGCGCCCACGCCCCCGGGCCTCCACGCACTCCAGTTCCTTCCTTCCACCTCAGCCTTCTCCAGCTCGTGGTGGTGATATAATCGCCCGTGCACACCACGCACTCCCCCGCGCTCGCGCCTCCATTTCATGTACTTCTCCCGCTGAACGATCACTGCACGACCGCTATCTTTTGTCTGTAACAACAATCACCGCAACGATGTCTACCTTCTGGCGCCTCTTCTCGAGTTATATTCCGACCATCCGCGACGACGGCCGCGACCTCGAGCTACCCATACTCAGCCGAAGCTCGTCATCGTCATCATACTCTCCCCCAAACCCGCGCGGGCAGCGACACGAACGACCCCGGCGGCTGGCCGCGCAAACGACAGCGCTCAAGGACATTCGCGCACGGTGGGACGCTGAAGAAATGTCGGACATCCGTATGCCGCTCCCTTGCGCGAACGAGTCGACGCAGACCGTGCGGTGGCACAAGTCCGTGAAGGTGAGCCTCTCAGGAAGGCTATCTATAAGCTTCGTACAGGCCCTGAACGCAACCGTTACGCAGCGTTCGCACACGGATAGCTGCCTGCCGGCAACACCTCTGCCGTTGGGAGCACTCATCTCGCCACAAGAGAGTGACGCTTCTGCTTCCTCGCGGTCCCAAGACTCCCAACCCAGCATCGATTCTTCTTCGGGCGACAGCGAGTCCACAAAAGTATGTGCATATTCCACAATTGTTCTATCGCCGCACTATGAATACCATGCTCAACCGTCTTCCCCACGCAGGTCGACTTTATGCCCGTCCCCCATCATGAACGTCGGAAGAGCGTCAAGGGACGTTCGCAACGCGACCGCGAGCCTGACACGAAATCACCGAAACCCAAAGTCGTGCAACCGGCCACACCGGCATCGTCAACCTCGCCCACCCAGTTGCTCATCCTGAAGCGAGAGCTGGAGCAACTGCAGGCCGATCTCTCCTCTACGAAACACGAACTAGAGCATCAAAGGGCCGTGAACGTGCACATCCTCGCGCAGAAGCGGAAGCTCGAAGGATCTCTCGCTCGTTCGCAGGCCCAGGCGGCTGAGACGCAGGAGCTACGTATCGCTCTGGCCGACCGTGTTCTTTCCGACGCTGCACGGGATTCTACGGCGCGTGATGAGGAGCTTGCGGCGCTACGTGCCTTCCTTGACAAGACGGATACCGCAAGCGGCGCGGAAGTCCTGCAGGCCGTGGCAGATCTCAACAATGAGATTGTGCAGCTCGCCGCCGCCGTCAGTGACGAGTTTCCTTTCCCTCAAACGCGCTCAGGGGCGCCAGCGTGGACGCTCGCACAGGCGGACCTGGTGCGCGACGCACTTGGCGACGAACTCTGTCGGCTGCTTCAATACGGTGAGCACGGCGAGGACCCCACAATTGTACAGTTCGCCGTACAGGCGTGGGAGGTTCACTGCTGCCAGGCTGCGCTAGATGCGTTCTGCGCGGGGCTGGCCCCCGAGGTCGACGCATACCTGAGCGCACTCTTTGAGGAGATGCAGACATCCGGTAAGCCCCCCTGTTCATATCCGTACTGCCTCGTTCGCTATTACTCACTGCGCACGCAGAGCTCCAGGCCACGGCCTCACGCTGGCGCGCGCTCACGCGTCAACACACCCGCGCATTGATGGCCAAGCGCCCATCTCAAACCGCGCCGGCGTTGTCCACCACGTCATCCCTGTCCTCCGCGTGCTCTTCCCCTCTTCTAGACCTCCCGCGTGGCGCGGCTGCATACCCCACACCGTCTCCGACGACGAACAACTCACCTGTCGGACTTCTCGGCGCTCTTCCTTCCCCGGCCTCCCCTCAATCACGGAACCTCGACGGCCTGCGCGCAATCCTTGCATTAGCTGGCTACAACATCCATGCCGGACCTCTCTCAGAGCGTTTCGGCGCAGCCGTGGCTCACGTGGGAAAGCTTGCCGACGACCTAGCCCGTACAGTGTGCGAGGGCGTGGCGAGCGCATGGTTCTCTGTACGTGTCGCCCCAGCACGCGCGTCGTTCGATGCAGTCGCGATGGAGAACGCGTATGCAGGCTTCGGCGACGAGGCTGCAGACGTGCTCTGTAGTATCGCGCTTGGACTAGAGGTCGTGCGTAAGCACGACGCTGGCGATGTTGAGCGTACCATCTTGCTCAAACCCGCCGTCGTGCTTGAAAATGTGACAGAGTTGTTGTAGACGTTTATCTTCAAGTTTCTTGCTTTCCTCCCGTATCATCATCACAATGGATTTTCATGCCCGTCCCGCTTTCTTGCTTATATCCCCTATCGTATCTTGCTCTCGCTCACCGTTATGCTTGCCCCAACTTGCCATCTGTATTTCTACCTTTACCCACCATCAATCTGTTCGTCATACCCATGCATTCCGCATTCGCTCGTCGCTCGCAAACGCCCGCCTATCTGTACTCTATTAATTCCACGAGTACACTACGTAGGCCAGTCCTGATAATTGGACCATTGTTCACCCGTGCCAGTAGCGTGCAGCAGATTACCGTACTATGCCGCATGCCGAAGAAGTTGATGTGAGCGGCGGGAGGATACGGCTACTGTGGGGCGCGCGCGGGGAGATGACGTCGGTTATGTGTGCCATCATCAGCCCGCCTATTGGTGGCTGGCGCTCTCAAAAGCGGCAGCTGGATTGCGCAACGCGAACTTCAACGACTTCCACCACCATCCCCTCTTTCTCTCGCGTACACTACGAAACACCATGTCTGCAAGCATTGCTGCCCGTACCATTCGCGCTTCCACGCGCGTGGCTCCGTCTGTCACCGCGCGCTTCAATTCGACGAGGTGGGCGCTTACTCCTACCCTTTTCGGTCCCGGAAGAAGTTAGAGCGACTGATGCGAATCCTCAGGCCGTATAGCTCGAACCACAACAACGACCCTGAGGTTCTCGAGCGCGAGAAGCACCGCAACCTCTCCAAGGCGGCGTACCAGACAAGCGCACCCATGGATGGCTCTGCGCCCGGCTGGAATGAGCACCTCGCCAGTGATGCCGAGGCCAACGTCAAAGCCGACCGCCATGGGCACAGCAGCCCTCAGGATCTTGTGAACGAGACTGTCAAGCATCTCAATGAGAAGCACTCGCCGGATGAGCGCTGGGGTGCGACGGAGAGCTCGACGTATGAGCGCGAAGAGGTGGCTGGCCCGCTCGGCGAAGCCGCCAAGAAGGTACACAAGGTCGTGAAGGAGACTGTTACTGAACTGAAGGTTTGTACGCCTCACCGCAACACCCGTTTATTGCATGCTGACACCAGTTGAAGAAGTAAATTCGGGATGAACTGCTAGTTCGTTGAACGACTCGATGTCCACTGTATCATCATCGCATATGACTGTACCATACCATAGCTTAAGCATTGCTAGTACTTCTACGTCTGCGAAGAGTGTGGCCAAATGACAGGCCTCCGATAGCGTACGCGAGGTTGAGCATCTCAACAGACCTCAACGCGTGTTTGTGAGAGTGATGTCATTGTTCGGCGCCACAACTCGGCTTTACGGTCCGGTTAACACCGACGCGGAACTGACAGAGCAGCTTCGCATCGACGCGTCGACTTGACGTTCTCTCATCCGTATCTGCATCCGTCTACGTTCTGGTTGGTTGAAGGACATGACATTTTCTCTGTACAGCGAGTAGAGCCCATCCGGGGGACTGCACGTCCGCAGTTGTGGTTGTATCAACTTGTTTGTGACCCTGGCGTGACGAAGCCAATGCCGCAGACAATCGTTCTTGCGGACGACCACCATGAGGAGTCAGCGAGCAACACTATGTCATTCTGTCTCTTGGGTTCTGTACAACTTGTTACTCACCCTCCTCTTATGATTAAATTGTACTCTGTGCCGTTGCCGAGATCCAGAAGGCTTTTCGGTCCAATGGGCCTGTGTCGTCAGGGCCGCCCGAAGAGTCCGACCTTTTAGCAGCACACGATGACAACCGTCATCCACCAATGCAACATCTCGGTTGCCACTTCGGGATAACATCACTTTGATACGCACGACCTCGAGCTCTTGGGGCTCGACCAATGAGGTGGTATAACTGCGTCTCTATGTCACTGTGCATCTTGGCCGTCGGGTTGTTTAGCAACAAACCGACCTTAGCCACTCACGGACCGTTGTGGTCGTCTTCACAGCCTCGACAATATGATCCTAATTAGAAGGTGCCGACCTGTATGAGCAATAGGATCTTACTGGCGCGCGTTGCGCAGCCCGGACGTGGCATTCTTAAAGCCGCGAAGTAAATGTGGGCTTCCCCATATGTTCTAACGACCCTATGATGACCTCGCCTACTTCCCTTCTAATCATAACGTGCACCCTTGCGCTCCTATTGCGACTTCTGCTGGCGACATATGCGCGCCTGGTGAAGTCGAGGGCCTTCCGTGACCTGCGCGGGCCACCCCCCGCCTCTTTTCTGACAGGTGGGCTTGCCGTCAGCGTATCACCTTGTTGTTTTCTAACATGTTGCCGTAGGAAATCTGGCTCAACTCTCAGACGCGGAAGATGGCCTGGTCTTCTTGAACAAGATGCTGGCTGATTATGGGAGTGTAATGAAACTGAACGGGTTGTGTGGCGTAAGTGGTCACAACGTCACTGCCCATCTTCGTCTTCCCAACAGCTGAACAAGTCACGCCGTACCAGGACACGCTGCTTTGCATTTCTGACCCTCGCGCTCTTTCACACATTCTTCTCAAGGAAGCAGACAACGTCGCCGAAGTTGACTTGACAGGGACCACACAGTACGCTCTGTCGAACGCGTCCAGTCGTCGCATTGTCTTACACTTACCAAGGATACTCCACTACATGTTTGGTCCGGGGCTGGTTACGACCAATGGTATGTGTACGGTCTAGTACATCCGACAACAGCCATGGACTGACGACCGTACTATAGGCCACCGTCATCGCAAGTACGAGCCCGTTGCGCTGACCTCGTAATCCTGGGTGCTGACTGCGGGGTTTGCGACAGACAACGGAAGATGCTGAATCCTCTCTTTTCTACGGCACATATGCGTCGCGTGACACCCCTTGTTCGTGCTATCACGCAGCAGGTGTGTCCTCTACCGCGTGTACTGGATTGGTCTAGACTGATCTCTTGTCTCAGTACAAGGCCCAGCTCACTCGTGAGACAACCACGGGCGCAAACGATGTCGATATCGCACCCGGGTTGGCATGCCTTGCTCTCGAGATCATCGGCCAGGTCGGCTTCGGTGCGTGATAGACTGGTCATTCGATACCTTCAGCTAATCCTGCTTTTCAGGCCACACGTTCAATGCACTCCGCGGTGGCGCATCGGAGTATATACGCGCGGCCAAGGAGCTCCTGTGCGTGCGCATATCATTCATTCACCGATACATTTGCTTATTCTGTCTACAGCCCTGTCACGGCTGATCTGGCGCTTCCCATCATAGCGACAGTTGCCTCGGGCTTATCATGCTTACCTCCACCTGTTCTCAAGACTGCTGGCTGCACGCTCGCCTACCTGCTTCCCTCCTTACGAAAGCTCATGTTCTGCGTTGATACCCTCTATGACACCGCGCGGCGCATCTGGGAGGCCAAGAAGGAGGCTTATGCGGCAGGAGATGTGCTGCTTGGAGAAGCTGTGAAAGACAAAGGTGATCTTTTGGGCGTTCTGTGTGAGTCTTGTCTCGTCTACCAGCCTCATCATTTTGACACTGTTGTAGTGAAAGAGAACGCACAGGCCAAAGGCAAGGATAAGCTGTCTGACAATGAGTTACTCGCGCAAGTCAAGTCAGTCTTCGGGCCAGCTCTTGCTTTTGTCGGCATACGCTGATCACTCAATGACCTTCAGTACTTTCATTGTCGCCGGAGCGGAGAGCACATCGACTGTTATTTGCCGCATTCTCCACCAATTGGCACTTCACCCGGCGATACAGGAACAGCTGCGCGACGAGATCGTACAAGCGGGCGAGAACCTGGAATACGATGACCTGATGCGGCTTCCTCTGCTTGACGCAGTTTGCAGAGAGACCATGCGGCAGCACACGTTCTTTCCTTTCCGGAGTCGCATGTACGAATCCTACCGGTGGTCACATCGATGCAATGCTGACTCAGTGGGTGGCAGGTGTAACACGGCGACAGCGGTCCCGCTCTCGAATGGTACTGTTATACACGTTCCTGCGGGAACTGAGGTCATTCTCAATTGCCACGGCGCGAATACCGATCCAGCTATCTGGGGTGCGGACTCGCAAGACTGGCGCCCAAAACGTTGGCTGGAACCACTTCCCCAAACCGTCTTGGACGCTAAGATACCAGGCGTGTACAGCCATTCGTCCGTTGTCCAGTTAACCTCCTAGTGCGCGGCCACTGATAATTCTACTCAGGATGTCTTTTCTCGGTGGACCCAAATCGTGCATCGGCTACACGCTCGCCCTGCTGGAGATGAGTGAGTTCAGCATTGCTACACATACCGCGGCAATAACTCCTTGCTCACGACTTCTTGGCAGAGGTCGCGCTGGCCGAACTACTGTCATCCTTCAACTTCGCGCTTCCCCAACAGGACGAGATTGTCTGGCGTTTTGGTATCACCATCTCTGCGAGTGTCAAGGGCGAGAAGAGCTTCAATCCTACCATGCCCATGCGACTAACCCAGTTGGACCCGACGAATCCTTGAGCGGCTCCTCTTTACGAATATTACCGAACACACGTTACCCTACTACGATCGCAGATGACAGTCCCTTGCTATACCTTTACTCTACGCTCCTTGACTTACTGTACTTCCAGACAATCACGGTCTCAGTAGTAGTTCTTGCATCTGATCTTTGATCGGAATAATCTAATCGCATTATAATCTGGATAATCAGCGTTGGCGGATTTGTCTCAGAAATTAGCTCAGGACATCAAGCGTTGGTTCCCATCCACCATGGGCCTGATGACAGTCCTTTCACTGTGGTGATTGAACGACTTAACACACTGCTCCTCATCGACCTCGAGTGTCGTGTATATGCTTTTCGAGCGAAGGAACAGGGGACTGGCTCGGCACCGGATACCATTTAGGACATCGGCATCTCTTCACCGGCCGAACGACACCCCACTCGCGATTAGGCGCCTTGACTATCGATACATAGTCACCTCTACTAAGAGCTCCTTACCAGAAGGCATCCCTCAAGCACAGGCGGGGTGCTTCGTAAGGCGCACTCAAAGCGCGTAGCGCCCGCGTCGACGTGTCAAGCGCCGAACCTTTATGGGCACGTTCCCTGCAGCCTTGGCCATCGGTCTCACGCGAGCCATTATTGTATCCAATAGGCGACAATCCTGATACTTGAGCCATTGTGCCAGTGTATGATTGCGGGTACCTCACGTACACACCCAATGACAATGACACAAATTCAAAGCCCTACTTTTCCACTTCCTTCCGGTGAAACCGGCCACGTTGCGTGCTGGCGCCCGAAGCATCGCCTTCTCCCGCAATCCGTTGGCGGAAGTAGACCGCAAGTGACAACAATGTTCCTGTGCTTTCCCGCTTCGTGTATGGGCCATGCTCGACGTGAGGATAAAGGTCCACCCGTCTCCCGAGGCGTCAAGCTCCCCTTCCACTCCCGTGTGATACCTTTAGGCACCATGTCTAATATGACAGAGGTACAGCTGGGCGAGATAGCAGATGATGTCAAATGGATATCTGCTTATTGTGTATTCCCTCTCATCTTAGAGAGCATGCTATTCGGTGAGCATCTTCTTACCAGTGATAGCAAACCCCACCTGCTCATCGCGTTTCTCTACATCTTAGCATTATTCACCGTTCTCATAGCGTACCACAGTCTCAAGTACTGGTGAGTGATGTCCTGCTTGAGTCAACATCCGCATCCTACTGAGTCGTCGAGCAGGGAAGGAAGGAAGCGAACACGCAGCATCTTCGCTGTCTGTGTCTGTCTGTACATCCTTTGCGCGATCTGTTGGGCTCTAGACGTATGGATCGTCTGGGTAGACCTTTACCACGTCCTCCCTCGCCAGTTGTCGCCAGCGACCCTGGATCCTGCAAGCGATCCTTACGCTACTGTGGACCGCCTTACAGGGCCGATGCTCTTCGCTCGCCACATATGCACGAGGATAATTGTAAGTGTAGGGGCCGGCGGTACAGTTTCCGACTGGTATCTGACAGCCTTTGCAGTTCATCATGTGCGACTGGGTATCATTATGGAGAGCTTATGCCATCTACGGGAGCCCACGGTGGCTCAAAATCGCATGCATCATGATCGTTGCTGTGTCATGTGGTACGCCACATCTCACGCCTAGACGGCTCTTTCCTATGGTTTGCTGACGCTATGTTTACCACAGCTTTGTATACGGTCGTAACCATCTTCAGTGCTACACCGAAGCTGAATGACCCACCTGCATTTGCGATACGATTCCTGGTGTTTCATGGTGGAGTGAACATGGCGTTTGAGTACATGTCTCTATCGACGACGGCCTGCGCTCAAATCTTCGCGACTGCATTGATAGCCTGGAAGGCTTGGTACGCGGTCTATGGTACGACTCAGGTCACGGTTGCTAAGAGGCTTGCATACAGGATATACCGACGAGACGTCGCCATCCCCTTGTCCAAGAGGGACGCGACCGGTTCTACCGATCACAAGCGCCTCTTCACGATACTCTGCATCGTGATCGAGACGGGTATCTTATACACCTGTCTATTCATCACCCACGTCCTGTCTGTAGCCATACTACTTGGCGCGGGATACTCAACGTGGTCCTTCTTTTGGATCAGTCAACTTTCGGTAAGCCTTTCACCTACTGAACGTGATCCATATTGTTTGATGTGTCCTTGCGAAGGGAATCTGCCCCACGCTGATCGTTGTCGTTGTTTCCATACAACAATCGGTCCTTGAGCGCAGCGCACAGACAGACAACGCGGCTTCTGACCTGACACTATCCATCCAATTCGCAGGCAACCCTCGGGATCAACGCCTTTTGGGGAAGTGCGACTGCTCTTTTCCAAAGGAGATATTAACGCCGACTCATAAACGAGACAATTCCGTTGGGTCTCAGTCCGCGTTGTCCGATTGAGGCGGGAAGCAGTGATACAGGGAACACTCCCCTCCGAAGGTGTTAGTAACAGAAACCGTTTGTTCGCCGAGGTGAACACCGAGCGCCGCGGCCACTGTGTAACATACTTAACAGTCTTGACGTGCATGTTACTGATACGCCGTGCTATCTCCGAATCATCCGTTCTACCATGCTTGTTTAGGGTTCCATGAGGTCGACCGAAGCACTTTATAGCAAGTCACTCGGAAACGTTCCTCGGCCGTTCCGTATACGCACTGTCGATGGCAAGTCAACAGGGCTCTGACTGAGCACAAAAGCACTTTCTTGACACCAGCACATGTTCAACGCTGTTCTTCGCGTCGTCAGTGAAACCTCTATGTCCCACGATTCTTTGTGGATAATCTACGTGCCTGTTAACCGAGTAGAGAACCTCTTGTGCACGCGCCTCTAAGCGATCCATCCCGTTCTCATCCCGTGGAAGCTCTCCTCCGAGGCTAGCGGTGGTCGCGCGACCTACAACATTCCTCCTTGACAGCGGCGGCTCTGCGTAACCTTGTATATGGCGCTTGAAGCTCGTACTGTGCACTCCGCTTTTAGCGCTCAGCTAGTAACATGCCGTTGTGCGTAAGATAGCATAAGTTTGAGCTGGCTCATGTGTCTCGGAAGGTACGATGCCTTACACACGCAGAAATGGACGCGCGACCTACATGTTCATCGCTCCATGCGACCAGGAGCGGGTTGCTTATGTCGAACCAGAAGTTGGGGACTTTCAACGCCCTGGAGGCAGGTACGGTACCAGTACCGCGCCCCGCGAGAACGATGCCACCCCGATTGGGCGGTCGGCGTGTGAGGCGCCATGACGTCACAGCGAGCGAGTTATAAACAAGCCAGTTTCTCTTCTTGAGTTGTTCTATGTACACAAACAGCGTGCATCCACGGACTATACAGAGTCAGAGCAGAGACCAAGCACCTAGATTAGACAAGATCGGCCGCGATCTACACACCCAGTCCGAGGCAAAGACAAAGCGTCCATCAAGCGCGTATGTTGAAATGAGAGTAAAGAGAGGTATATTTGGTTTGCTTCTGTCTGTCTGTCTGGTCCGGATGTAGGCGGGTACAGGTTGGTAGGTACGCTGCGTGTAGTGTACAGTACGATGTCCAGGTGTATGATGAGATCACTAGCAATTTACGTTAGCATGGAGTAATCGGGGGCCACCGGATAGACAGAGACGCACCAGGAAGTAGTCCGGTACGCGGCGGGAGACAAGCGGCTCGCCGGCGCGCGGTGCGGGGTCGAATTGTAAGCTGTGTCAATGATTGTCAGTTTAGGCGCCGAGATGACGCCACGAACAATAAAGGAAGCGAAGGCGACGTACAAGGTATACGACAACTTCTCGTCAATCTCCATAATCGCGGCCTGGTTCCCGCACCGGTAGCAGTAGTTCGGTGCGCTGAAGATCGTCACGACGTTCCTATCCTGACCCCAGTTGTAACCTGAGGCAATTGCGTCAGCACTCGAGTCGCGTGCGGGGCAAGGGCAAGGGCGGAGGGGACTGAAGCAGACACATACCCTCCATTACAAGCTGATGTGCACGCGCAACGAGCGTAAGGCCGTTGTTGTGGTTAAAGGCCTCGGAGATATCCTGGCCGAAGGTGTAGCCGGCTCCGCGGGGGGATATGCCCCAGCCACAGCGGTCGTCGGGGTCGGACCAGAGCAAGTCGCACATCGGGCCTTCGTGGGGTACCTCCTGAACACGGTCAATCCCACGAACATGGTCGAGGGTGTCGATCGATGGGGAGAGACCGCCGTGAAGGCAGAATATCTATTTGGTGTGCACGCGATCAGTTCCTGGAAGCGAACGAGGACAATCAAAGATATCATACTTGGGACTCGATGAGGGCGGTAAGGGGGAGGTAGTCGAAGAGGTCGGTGAAGTAGCGCCAGACGTTGGCGTTTCCGTACTTGCGGAGGCACTCGTCGTAGAAGCCGTAAACCTGGGTGATCTGTCTGGATTCGTGATTCCCGCGGAGGATGGTGACGCGGTCACGGTAGCGGAGCTTCATTGCAACGAGCAGGGTGACTGTCTCTACCGAGTAGTAGCCTCGGTCGACGTAGTCACCCATGAAGAGGTAATTCGTGTCGGGCGAGTTGCCCCCGATCCGGAACAGCTCAGACAGGTCATGCTGTGGCGGTGATATTAGTATACACAATATGTATATATTAAGTGGCACATATACTCACGAACTGTCCGTGAATGTCACCGCAGACGGTGACGGGGCAGCGCACGGGCTGGACGTTGGACTCCTCCATCAGGATCTCCCGCGCCTGCATCCGCAATCCTCGTTGGCGCGCGTCCCCCACTGAGCCGATAGCATCAAAGACAGACGCACCTTGTCGCACAACTTTTTTACGTCGGGCTCTGTCAGCTGCTTGCATTGCGAGAGCTGCTCGATCCAGGCGTCGACTTCTTGCTCCATCACGATTATTTGTTCGAGGAAATGACGAGGGTGACGGTACTGTGCAAGCTCTGAGCCCGTCCAGATCAGGAACACAAACGCGAGTCCGCCACGTGCCGCGCATTGATTGATCTCCAGACGCGACGCGAACGCGCGAGGCGCGTTTCCCGTTCACCTTTTCCTTCAGGCGACCATGGCCAGCTACGATCCGATCTATACCACCGACGAGGTAGATAGTAGGTATACTCACGTGATGCTGCGTCTAATATGAACTAGTACGGGAGGCCGTTCATTATCCTGCGCGAGCAGGCGAAGAAAACGCGAAGTCATGGAATTGAAGCCATCAAGGTGCGCCGCGCGTACTTTTCTGGATGACGACTCGTGCTCATTATAGCAGTCCCATATCCTCGCAGCAAAGACGGTCGCAAATATCATTCGCACGTCGCTCGGGCCGAGAGGTGCGTATTTGATCCCAATGTAGGCGATGCTTCTTCGTGAACGTGTGTTGCAGGTCTTGACAAAATCCTCATCTCACCCGATGGCGAGATCACCGTCACGAACGACGGAGCCACTATCCTTGGCCAGATGGAGGTAGACCACCCCATAGCCAAACTTCTGGTCGAGCTCTCCAAGAGCCAGGATAATGAGATTGGTGACGGTACAACTGGTGTAGTTGGTAAGTCTTGATCTGCCGCGTGCCGCGGGCATTCCGGCGTCTTCAAAGTGATCTGTGAAGAAATATAGTCTAACATCTATCTCTCGTAGTTCTCGCCGGCGCATTATTAGAACAGAGCGAATCTCTGCTCGACCGCGGCATCCACCCGATCCGCATTGCCGACGGCTTCGACCGCGCCTGCTCAATCGCTGTCAAGCACCTCGACTCGATCGCTGACAAGATCGAGTTCTCCAAGGAGAACACCGACAACCTTCTCAAGACGGCCATGACTTCTTTGGGTAGCAAGATGTATGTGTTCATGACTCTCACTTCTTCGCACGTCAAACTCAAGCGCCACACCCTACCAGTGTCTCGAAGGAGCACCGACAGTTCGCCCAGATCGCAGTCGACGCCGTGATGCAGGTCGCGGACATGGAGCGCAAAGACGTGCTCTTCGACTTGATCAAGGTCGACGGCAAAGTCGGCGGCTCGCTTGCAGACACGACGCTCATCAAGGGCGTGCTCATCGACAAGGACATGTCGCACCCTCAAATGCCTCACTCAGTCAAAGACGCTCGCATCGCCATCCTCACATGTCCATTCGAGCCTCCGCGCCCGAAGACGAAGCATCATCTGGACGTGACGAGCGTGGAGGAGTACAAGCGCCTGCAAGCGTACGAGAAGGAAAAGTTCGCGGATATGATCAAGCGTGTCAAGGACTCTGGCGCCAACCTCGTCATCTGCCAATGGGGTTTCGACGACGAAGCGAACCACTTGCTCATGCAGAACGATCTTCCGGCCGTGCGTTGGGTCGGCGGACCGGAGATCGAGCTCATCGCTATCGCCACCAACGGTCGCATCGTCCCAAGGTTTGAGGATCTGTCATCGGAGAAGCTTGGGAAGGCTGGCATTGTGCGCGAGGTGTCGTTCGGCACTACCCGCGACAAGATGTTGGTCATTGAGGAGACGGCCAACACGCGCGCTGTCACGATCTTCGTCCGCGGCTCGAACAAGATGATCGTGGACGAGGCCAAGCGCGCGTTGCATGATTCCCTCTGCGCGGTCCGCAACCTCGTTGTCGACAACCGTGTCGTGTACGGGGGCGGTGCCGCGGATGTCTCTTGCGCATTGGCAGTGGAGAAGGCGGCGGAAGAGATCCCGAGTATCGAGCAGTACGCCATGCGCGCATTCGCGAGCGCGTTGGATGCCGTACCGCTCGCATTGGCGGAGAACTCTGGTCTCAGCCCGATCGAGACCTTGCAAGAGGTGAAGAGCAGGCAGGTCAAAGAGGGTAACCCGCAGCTGGGTATTGACTGCAACGGGCGCGGGGAGAACGATATGAAGAAGCAGTTTGTATACGACCCGCTCATCAGCAAACGCCAGCAGTATTTGCTCGCCACGCAGCTCGTGCGGGCTGTACTCAAAATCGGTATGTCGATCTTCCCATACCCTTTCATTGCGATGCATGCTGACGCTCTTGCAGATGATGTCATCACCGCTGGCGAGGCTGACGAGTAGAAGTTATACTAGAGGAATACGCTGTATACTATTTGCATGCAGTAATGACAGTGCTGCGCATATTTTGATCTCAGCGAGCGCGATCCTGGGTGACCGGTGATGCTCGGAAATCAGAAGCGAAAGGATATCACTGCGGGCTGTATTTCATCCATGGTGCAGACATCTACTCGTACCATGATTACGGAGACAACTCTCATTACGTGCTACTTGGGGTTCGGCCTATCGATCAATCAATATGCGCGGTGTGTTCAAGCCAGCCCTGCACAAGTGAAATTCAGTCGTCAGTATACGGCGAGTCATATAGAATGGATGAATGCTGACCTCCGGCGCCAACACATCATTCAGCGTAGCCTCACCGCGGCTAATCATGCCACGCACGGAATCGTCATACGCTATGACAAGGTTGAAGATAAAGTCTCTGCTGCCTCCGCGACCAAGATCGGTTGAGTCCTGCCATATCTTCATTGCATCTGGCAGTGCTTCACGCATCATTGAACAAAGCGGTAGTATCTCGCGGGCGGTTGCTTTGTGTTGCCATAAACTCTCGATGGCCATGGCAAGCCAGTCTGTGCCGATGTCAGTTGCGCACAAGATTCAAATGAAGGTGCAACGCAGACGTACAGACGTGGTATTCGTCGTCCAGCCAGACGAAACTTGCAGCCTTAATCCAGTACTGAGCTGCGCGTTTGTACTCTGCTCCATCGTCAGGCGATTCTTTCGCTTTCCTATACCGCGCCCATGCCATCGCCCTGCCAAGAAACAGCTTCATCAGTAAGAGCTCGTAATGCCAATCAAGACGAGCTCACGCGTAGCCTTCGCCGATCGGGTATAGCCAGAATGCTGGGATGAAAGACGCGTCGCGACCTGGCATGTACTTCTCAGCAGCCGTCTTCAGGCTCTCCTCCGTCTCCTGAACGACCGCCAAGACCTCTTCGAAGAAGTCGTCGATATCACCTTCAGGCGATGCGCAGAATTCCTCGTGCTTTGGGCTCGACTTTTGAGAGGCCTGGTATCGCCGGAGGTGCAGGTGAGAACCAGATCAACGAGAGGTCGCCAAGCCGATACGCACCTTCATGAACGTCTGCCAGGTCAAGCGCTTCACCGCACGGACCCACCATTCCTGGAGGATCTCCGGGCGATCGGGTTTGTCCGCCGGCCATGCAGCTCGTGCCCATTCCAATAGCCGTATCGCGAACTTGTACAGAGAAAGTGCCTCTTTGAACTCTCCTAGTTCGTTATCGGCGCGGTAGGAGCAAAAGACCCAGACACTGCATGACATGTCAGAGATATTGCCTTGACGTCAAGACTGTTCCTTACTCTAGTGTTGAGGATAGTGAAAGTATGAATGCCTTGGACCACCCTTCTTGTTCAAGGCGCTTGGCCGCGTCGCGTATGATCTCCTCGATGTCCGAAGATCTCCAGGCTTGACCTGTTTGAATCTCGAACAGCACTTAGGTATAATCAGTACATGGACACTAGAGCGTTCAGGCTTTTGGCGAACACGCGACATACTTTGTGAGCTGTATCTATTGTTCTCCTGGCGGGTTAAGGTTCTGTGGACCCTGTATTCTCGTATGATACCGGACACGAATTGCAGAGTGCACTGAGTGAAAACGTAAGAAGACGGACGGAGCGCCAGGGTACAAAACAGCTCACGTCTATCCTTCCGGCTGCATCGACTTGACCGGAACCATCATTTCGAGGCAATGTTTGGAGCAATGATAGGGCGTGCAACCCCTTCGCCCACTCGACATATGCAGAGTACACAAGAGTCACCTGAGTATCGATGAGTGATGAAAGCTTTCAAGTATCTTGAGAACTGGACGTACGCTACTCTGGAGCACAATCTTGTCTTCTGCCTCCCGCTCGGCCTTGCTTTGTTTACGGCCGTGGGTGCCTTCTAGAATAGGACGCAAAACGGCGTATGCACAATCCCAAGGACGCTTTCCATTGACGTCCGGTTGCTCGATGACATCAAGCGAGTTACGTTCGGGAAGGAAGTCCGCTTCGCCTTTCCATACCGCATCGAGCATGTTCTCTGGTCGTCTACCATCAAGCAAGACTTGGTGTATGAGCTTCTCGACTTCTTCGCGGAGTCTTTTGTCGGCCGGAGTCATCTTGCTCGCAGCCGGGAGTGTATCCAACGCAACACCGAGGGAGAAAGAGGCTTTGGTCAATTGGCCCAGATGCTGTCTTTTGTGTAAGTATGTAGGCGGTTGTGTGTATGCGGATGACCACTGACGCGTTGAGCCTTTCCAAGCCGTGCCCATGCCTTCGTGGATCTATTGTCAAGCTCTGTGGCCTAGGAAAAGAGTCATTAAGACGCAGTGTGGAGATAGATGAAGTCTATACACCTTTTGGGCATCGGCAGCAGCTTCAGAGAAGCTACCAAAGACGATCTCAGTCGGTACTACATGAACGACGCGCAAAGAGCAGCGCGTACTTTTCGAGGTTGATGTGCGCCTGCGCGCGGTTGCAGTAGATGACAGGGTCCTCGGCGTATACATTGATAGCTTTGGTGTAGCCGTCGCGTGCCCCTGTGTAGTCCCCAGACGCGAACAGTGCATTGGCGCTGAGCTTGAGCTGTGTGGCGAGCGCCTTGCGCTCATCGAGATCGAGATCGAGAGCGGGCTCGTCGGTAGACATTTCGGGAAGGGATTGTGTGTAGGATAGAAGGCTGATGGTGGGAGGAGTGAGAGATGCGAGGGCGGGGATCAGGATGCCAGATGGGGTAGTCGATCTATATGCGAACCGTGTTTATTAGTGTCCTTGTGGCACGCCTTGACCACCGCCTTTGGATGTTTCCTTCCGGCGACGTGGCTGTACGCAGTCAACAGCAACCGTGCAGCACGATAGGCCAAATGAACAAAGGGAGTCGCCCTCAAGAAGTACAATAGACTACGCAGCGGTGGGAAGGAGAAGGGTTTCCGTTATGATCAGGGATGAAAGGGACAAATAGACGCCCATGGACAATTATTATGCGCTGTTTGTTCGTGAAGAATGGAGCTTTCAGGTCCGACATGAATCGCGATATCAGATAATATCATCGGTGTTTACCCGAGAAACGGAATGCAGGACGGGTTGAGTAAGGTCGCTCGCGGCCGCGTCTGTGCGCCAGCGAGGACGTGAGAAAGCGACCGGGGAATGCCGAGGAACTCGGAGTGACGAAAGACTCCGATTACAGGGTTCACTATCCTCATGCTCGAGGCAATATGGGAAGCGATATTGAACAGACCATGCTGAGTAGACGATGAGACGCCATAGGGTCATCGACGGGGTGGGGGGAGACGCGGCGCGGCGCGTCCGGACAGGTCCGGACAACTCTGCGATCCGCCGCTCGGCATATGGGCGTCCGGGATGCGACGCTCTTGGCCATCCGTCACCGCAAAGCCCTTGGATCTCTTTCTCCCTTATGTCATGCGGATAAAATTTCATTGTCCATGATCCTGGGACCATATACAGTAGCGTGGGTGACTGCAATATTACTGGAGATTCACAAAGCACTGCCTGTGCTGGAGAACAAGTTTGGCGGGACCTGCCTAGCCGCCCGCTGCCCTTCGTACATATCGGGACCGGGTGGCACACCAAAGAACAGGCCCGGCGAACCATCCTTGTTCGCCGCGATAGCCTTCTCCCTGATCTCTCGAAATGTGGCCTCTTTTGCACTCGCAGCACGCATACGCGCGGCGAACTCCTCGTCTGCTGTGTGGGAGAAAAGCCCGCTGTCGGCCGATGCGTCGAGCGCTAGCGCAAGAAGGTCGAGGAGGTGCATGTTCAATGGGTTGAAAGCGAGTGCCGCGTGATATCGGACGATCGCATCCTCGATACGACCTTGAAGATGATGCACGAGGCCGAGATAACCGAGCGCATGTCGGTTAGTCGACTCGATCTCAAGAACGCGCAGATAGGTCTTCTCAGCGGCGTCGAGGTTACTAGTACACGTCAGAGTCAGAAAGACAATATCGCAAGCATCAGAAAATGTGTACCCCAATTTGCGGAAGCAGGTACCGAGATTGAGGTATGTGGTGGCCCAGGATTCCTGCGAATTTTGAGTGACCTGTGCATTCTCTAGCGCTCGTGTGAACATCTTCGCGGCGCCTTCGAAGCTGTATGCTATGTTGAGAATGACCGTTGTAGCGTGACAGCTGACACTCACTCGTTTTTGGTGAACTGCATGACACCGATTTCGTTAAGCAACAATGGATCCGTCTTGCACATGCTGAGAGAGGCGTTGAGGGCTTCGATCGCAGGCGTCTCGTTCGAGAGAATCAGATGCTCCATGCCCACGAACATCAACGGGAGATGTGACCTGAGCAACAACGGTCAGCGACGAGTTCGCCATGAGCATACGAGGCGTACCCTGTGAACATCCTCGCGCAGGTCGAGTAAGCCGTGATGGCGTGGTCATGTTCGCCCTCCAAGGCAAACGTGTGGGCAAATGCGATCCACGCCGGTCCAAACCTTGGGTCCATGAGAGAGGTCTTACTATGGGAGGTCGAGTGTGAACGTGCGTAGAGATATAATTGACACGGGGTCTTACCTGAAGTACGTCCGTGCATCTGCCCACTTGTGCTGCGTGAGGTACCAAACACCAACAGCATACCAGCTCATCGGTGACTCGGGCTCACGCTCCACGAGCTCATGCGCGAGGATGAATAGTCTCGAGTGGAGATGCTTGAGGTGATGCATGCAGGCTATGTGTAAAGGCATGGTGGGAGCGTGTACCGCGACGAGCCCCAAAATCCTGTAAGTTGATCAATCAAGAGTAGGAGACACGCTAGTCATAGGCCATCCTCACCGCGAAGTTACAGCAAAGCAGTCCGCCCAACGGAACTGAGAGTATAAGGCGTCGGCAAAGCTGAACAAGACATCGGGGTTATCTGATAGCCCGTATTCGTCCGCCAGTTTCCTTCGTGCGAGAGCGTGCTCCTCCGCATGTGTGTACTTGCGCAGTCGAGCAGTATAGATGAGTCGTACGAATTCCGCGTCTTCTGGCGTTTGCTCTTTGTAAGCCAATGCCTGGACGAACTCCCATTCTGCAATATATTAGCGAGCGAGAATGAGAACAAGGTGTTCATGTAGCTACCCTCTTCCACCGTCATCATCTCACCACTGATGAGTTGGTTGAAGGCGTCGTAGCATTTCACGTCCAGCGCTAGCGCTTCCATGAAGCAGGCCTTAGCTTGGTCGCCGCGGTTAAGTTTGAGCATCAGGATCCCCCGTAAGTTACACATCGAGGCCTCGACCTATCATGACTATCAGTCAAGAGCAGATGTGAGCCATATCTGGACGTTCAACCTTGATACCACCGTCCGTATTGGGCACGTCCGGTCCGCTTCTGCCAGAGTTCCTGAACGGATTCGCCTCTCCCAGCATCTCCGTCGCTTCCGCCCATTTGCCCTGCCTGACAAGACACTGTGCGGCTAGATAGCGGCACACGACGCTCATATCGACCAGGCGGGACACATCATCTTGATTGTCTGCCGCTACCTCAATCATGGCGGTCGGGCCCACAGGTAGCCTTGGCTCCGAGGCCCGTCCCTTGCCTTTCAGATCGGGAAATGGGATGCCTGTTCGAGTCTCAGTCGGAGAACTGGACGTATAACCATTTGACGATGGGTGAACCCGGGGCTCTGAGGGCGGTTTCAGAGGAAATGGTCTTGTGAGTAAACGCTCTGCTCGAGAGTACTGGTGTGTCAAGAAGTAAGTTTGAGCGAGCCAAAATGCGTCGTTCGGGTCATCTAGAAGTATGTCAGCGCTCTGCCTTCGCCGTACAGTAATGACACGTACTCGTCCAGGACATGATCTTATCTCCCCAAAAAGCAGCCGTATCGTATAGATGTTGCATCAGTGCATCATGCCTCCACAGCCTCATCCTATCCACCATTTTCCACTCATATTCCTCTTCATCGCCTCCAGGTGTGTCTTGGAAGACATCGGTATGCTCTGTCGCTAGAGGGTGCCGTTCTCTCGTTCTCGGGGGGCGTCGGGGTGAAGACCGAAGAGGTGACGAGGGTAGTATCGACCGGTTGGGATCAAGACTGAATGGATTTGGATGTGCGCCCGATATGTTTGAGTCGATGAAGGAGTTCACTAGAGATTCCGGGCCGAACGAGAAGGAGGAGTTGATTGACGCGCGTGGATGACGTGAGGACGAAGGTGAAGGCAGGCGTGGTACAGGCGGGATCGCATAGTTGAAGTGAGGCGGTGGTGTTGATGTCATGATGGGTGCTTTGTCGTGAAGGCGATGGTGAAGTCTCGTTTAGGCGGTATTCGATGAGGGCGGATCTGTGGTGGACTTGGTTCAACTACTGGTGAGTCGCGGGTGTGCGGATGTGGCGTCGACCGATTCTAGATGAATCCTCGAATTGCCCAAATCAATCGATTCACAGTCGCGTAGCAGCTGGAGTATCACAGTGCGGCTGCGCACGGCGCGATCGAGGCAGAAGGCAGGCCGAGGTTGGACAGGATACGTGCTTGCCACCTGACCGCGTGTACTCTTTCTCACGCCTGCACCACGCACATCCGAGCAGCGCCGGCGACGTTCCCTTGCCACCCGCAACCATCGCTCGGTGCAATCATGACTACCCGTGAACATCATGACTGCCTGTGTGCATTGTGACTACAACTTGTGTGCATCACGCTCCCTGGAACGTTGACCCGAGGTCATGCTGCTCTAAGAACAGCATATGCTGTATCTCAACACTCAAGCACGCGTGCGTTCCTCGATCTCCAGAGATGCCCATGCGGTTGTATCAGTCACGGCATGTTGAAGGGCCTGCTCGGCGGCTGTCCGACGAACATCTGTAGCTCAGGCAAACCAGCGATCAGGTCGAGGTGCACGAGGGCTGGGCCTGCGAGCACATGCAGCATACCGTTGCTCAGCTGCGCAGTTGCTGTCGACTGCATTCATAAAGGCCCACAGAGGGCGGAGAATTGCTCCCTTGAAGCCACTCTTGAGCTTCTACTTTGGCTTACCTTACTGGGATATCTGGGATTCGTGTCATGTCTACTCGCTCTTTCATTTCGGTCGGGCTCGTACTCGCTGCTCGCGCTCTAGCATTTGACCCCAACTCTTCGGCCAACGTATGCCTGCTAGACATCTCGGTTGCAGCGAGATCTTGACATATGTGCTATAGCTTGCGGTGTACTGGGGTCAGAACTCATATGGCGAGCAGTCTTTGTTCCGAAGCCTACTTCGATTGCTCATGCTCCCTGTAATACAGGTGCCGCACACTCCGATGAGGCGAACTGGCAACAGCGCCTGTCTTACTACTGCCAGGTAAACTCTTCTGCTTAGCAAGATCTCTGCTCGGCATGTTCATCGTGTTTTGTAGGATGACACCATCGATATTATCCCCATCTCTAGCGTGACAATCGCATTCTCTACGGGCAACGTCCCTAGCATCAACCTGGCCAACATCTGCAATGTCGCGGACTCACCAGTCTTTGAAGGCACGCAGATGCCTGATTGCTCTTTCCTCGCACCGGACATCCAGGGTTGCCAGGCTGCGGGAAAGGCTCTTACGATGTCGCTCGGTTCGTTGTTTTCCCACGCGTTCCACCCCGAACTCTCCTTGATGATTGAGCAGGCGGTGCATCTGGAGGTGTCGTCTTAACCAGCAACGATCAGGCGGAGACATTTGCGCAATCTATCTGGGACAACTTCCTTGGTGGAACGAGCAACACGCGTCCCTTCGGCGACGCCGTTCTAGACGGCATTGATCTCGACATTGAGGGCGGTTCTCCGCTCTACTGGGATGTCTTCATCACCAAGCTGCGCTCGCTCGCAGCCAGTGATACCAGCAAGTCTTACTACGTCACTGCCGCCCCGCAATGTCCCTTCCCGGATGCATGGCTTGGCACCGCGCTCAACGCCGTCGCATTTGACGCGGTGTATGTTCAGTTCTGTGAGTCAATCCATTAATCTGACCTCATATACCGATACTGAGGCCTGACTTAAGACAACAACGGATACTGCAATGTGGACCAGGTCCGTATGAGCTCTATACATACGTCTACGCATGCTCACAGGTTGATCCCAACAGTACTCCGGCGGAGGATTCACCTTCTCGCAGTGGGACAACTGGGCTAAGACGACATCTCCTAACCCGAACGTGAAGATCTTCATTGGCGCACCTGCCTCTTCTACAGCTGCTAATGCAGGCTACGTCGATGCTGCCACGTTGGGCTCTATTGTGGAAGAGACACGCTCGCAATACTCGTCCTTCGGCGGCGTGATGCTCTGGTGCGCACCCACATACCGACTTAGTACCTTTGAGGACCTTGTAACTGATCAGGCTTTAGGGATGCCTCGCAAGCATATGCCAACAACCGCTACGACCAGGCTATCAAGGCGTACCTCACTAACGGCGGTACAGTGGCAACCACCTCCGCGAAACCGGTCACTTCTACCACCAAGGCTGTTTCGACTACTGTCGTCGCAACCTCATCCACGTCTCAGGCTGTCACCACCTCGACCACATCTTCCGCGCCCGCGACAACCACGACAGCTGCATCCGGTAGCTGCGGTCTCGTCGCAGCTTGGGTTGCCAACCTCGCCTACACGGCCGGTGATCAGGTCACTTACGCCGGCTACCTCTGGACGGCCTCATACTGGACATACGCGGATACTCCCGGAGGTGCTGCGGGCGTCTGGGTCCAGGACGGTCCATGCGCTACCACGAAGGCGACACGTATCCACCCTTCGCTCACCACTATCCCGGTCGCATCCGCGACGGGCGCTGGCGGTGTTGTTCCGACTGAGTCATCATCAAGCAAGCGCTCCGTGCTCTTCAAGCGCGAGCAGTTCTAAATCTAAGCGCGTTTGTCACGCGTACCGCTCATTCTTCGAGTCTAACATTATTGATTTATCGGCATTGTATGTACACCGCACATATCACAATCATTAAACGATTTCTGCATCATCATGTCGGGCTGGAGTTTCGTAAGCTGAGATGTGACCGCCTCGCATGCGGAATAAGCAATACGTTCCTGAGGGCTGGCTAATGTAAGTGAGGGAAGGAGAGTGCGGTTCTAGCGAGCTCACTGAGATCCGCGACCGGAATACCTCCGCTACTCTCAATTCGCCTTCTCGACCCTCGGATTCAAGCGCGGCCGTCTCCGCATCTGGGTAGAGCTTGTCGAGCCAGAGAGTCGCGTCCGTCAGGAATGTGAACGAAGGACCCAACTGTGGTTTGCGAAGCGTGGTCTTGAAGTTCGACTCCTCGTTATATGGTAAGCACTTGGTACTGTTGTTGAGCACCTGTCACCATGTAATGAGCGCCAAGCTTTAGACCGATTGTACTCATATGCGTCATACCAAGATGCAAAGACCATGCGCGTTGGCGATGGTACGCAACGTTCGCATCAAGTCAGCCATCATGGCGTGACCTACAAGCCGATTCAGCACGCGAACTTCTGGACGTACGAGCAGAACGAACGCACCCTCCGAAGATGTCGCAGAAAGATGAGGCCCAAGGAGGGCCGAGATTGTGTCGACAACAAGTACGCGTGGACAAGGGTCTGTGCCCATAGTAAGGGTGTTGTGAAGTTCTGCCAGGATCGGATATGCCGCGTCCGGTTCAAAGGCCAATGCCACCCGCAGTCTATCGAGAACACTCGACTTCGCCTGGGAAAGGTATCAGATAGTAAGTCATGATGCCAGACAATCATATCAACGTACTGGGCCCTCGTATTGAGTTAGGAGAGAGCTAGGTCTTTCGACAGAGAAGTCACCCACAGAGTCGAGCCATAGTGCCGATACGTCTTCACGCGAGCACAAGTAGAGTAGAACCAGGTGTAGCGCCAAAGCCTACACGACGTTAGCGATGTTGCAGATAGTCTGGTGAAGAGAAGCTTACGGTCTTTCCAGAGCCCGTGTCGCCCGATATCTCCAATACCTTGCCGCGACCCGAGCCTCCGAAGTCGCCTCCGACAAGATCATTCAACTGAGTGACAGGGGAAGTCACACGAAAGATCTCAGAGTTCTCCGTCGTCTCCATCTCGTATAGAATGTCCCCTGATATCCCTTGTGCGCCGCAGAGACCGAGGACATGTGCGTGAATCTCGTTAAGTTCATGTAGAGTGGTACACCCAGCAGGTAGCCGATGGAAGAGAACAGGCATTGATGCAAATAAGAAGTCCTGGGCTGTGTGTATCCTGATGCTTTGTAACCCTTCGAATAGATCATCCGGTATATGTTCGCGGTATACATCAAGGGCTTCGGACATGTCGCTCAGGCGGATGCTCGTCGTTCAAGCGCAGAATGCTGGCGCGCGTCCCACGTCGTTCACACGACCCGCCGTCGAGCGAGGGGCCCCGGAACCACACGTTCCATGAATGGACAAGCAAATACTATAGCGAGGACAAAGGTGCAAAAAAGCGAATTAGCGAGAGCGCAGCAAGCGAGTATCTTACAATGGGGAAATTCCGAGTCCATATCCTGGAGCGAATCACAGCAGACGCCTTGCGTCATCCCGCCATCCCTAAACTCTACTCAAGTATGCTCATCGCCTCTCCCCACGCTTGAAGTATGCGCTGTTGACGACGTATGATTGCGCGAAGTCGTAGATGGTTTCGCCGACGCCGAGGTATGTCGAGGCAAAGCCCCGTGCGCCATCTGGCACCTTCTCAAGGTCGGGTCTATGAATAGGACATGTCAGTCGATGGCTATTCTGACCAACACTAGCACGCACGCAAATCCCGTTGACCTCTTCATCCCGGCAAGAATGGTGGATACAAGGACCGCATCCGCGGCGTAATGAACAAGTCGGCCGATAGCCATGGTGTTTCGTGTGGGGTTGCTACACAGGAATATGAATGGAGATAATACGCGCAGTGCGCGCGGCGTACGTTTGGGTAGTGTGCTTTGCTGGCAGCCAATACTGAATCTGCGATTTATAGCAGGTCGACGTCGTAGAAGACGTGTGCGTTCGGCAGGATGTGTCTGAGAGCTCGGTCGCACGGGCCGGTTCGAGCCGCAGCGCCGCGGCAGCGATGGCTTCGAGCGGCTTGATGCAGTCTTGCACTTGAACGCTTCCCCGCAGACTACTCGGACTTCGGTCACTGCGCGCGATGTGCTTTGTGTGCTTGACGCCCATGATTATGGCTATCTGCCGCTTTGGCCATCTCCCGATAGACTTCCGCCGAACCTGGTTCCTATGATGGCGCACACGATTGCTGGTAGTACGCCATGGGAATGCTCAACCTAGGGGCCGACCCTCCGACCGATAGGAGCGCTACTCGCAAAGCAGCTCACTCAGCTATTTACCACCATCGTGTACCGCTCTAGGAGACATGGCAGTCGTTGCTTTGCCGTCCCCCTTACAAAGGTTTGCAACATTCAGGCGTAGAGGGCTTTTTATCTGACGCATCACGTAGTTCCATTCGCTCGCCATGGGCCACTTTCGCAGAGCAACGCTTCCACGAGCTGGACGGCCTCATTTGGGGCATACAGAGCCAGCGCTCAGAGCTGGCCCTCAACCGACAGAAGATAGCGAAGGAGCTCGACGACCTACATCGCATCCAACGTCAGCTTATCATGCGGCACAATGCGCTTCTTCCCGTCTCATCACTTCCCGCCGAAATCATGTGCATCATCTTCGAGTACGCTGCTCAGGCGGAGCGCCCGCATGCCCGCCTTCGCCAATGTGGTGGGGCAGCCAGTTTGGGGTGGATTCGGCTGGGGCACATCTCAGCGCGCTGGAGAAGCATCCTGCTTGGGCACAAGCACCTTTGGGCTGGAAACGTCTGCGCATTACCGCTTGCGACCGTCAGCGCTGTACACCGCGCCGGTGCTGTGCCTGTCAACATACGTTATGACGTCGACGACGTAGCGGACTCTCGCTCGGCTGAGCGCTCCGTTTACCGAGCATTGCTGGAGCCCGGCGTTCGGATAGGCAACCTATCACTCACAGCGCGCTCCTCGTTCTTGCAAGAGATAGCTGCCATCCAGCTCACTTGCCCGCTACCTTCATTGAACGCGCTGCATCTCGAATGTCACCAACGACCCCATTGGGAGGTGCATGTCAACGAGACTTGCATGTTACCGAGGAATTTACTCGCGGGAAAAGCTCCTGCATTGCGCACCCTTATTCTCAAGAGGTGTTTCCTCCCATGGTCTTCGTCACTTCTCAGCGGTCTCACGCACCTGGAAATCCGCTTGGACTCTCATTCCATACCGGAGCACCTGTACCCGACCGAAGAGGGACTCCTAGGAGTACTAGCCTCCAATAGCTCTCTAAGCACCCTCGTGTTAGCATTCTGCCTGCCACGCACCGGCCTCGGCACATCGACTGCAGTCGTATCGCTCCCAAAGCTCGCCCGACTGACCCTGGGAGGCGACGCGGACTCCTGCGCTTGGTTTTGGAGTCACGTGCATGCTCCCACTCTGCAGACAGCGGGCGTCGTCGCCGCATCCCAGCGCGGCCACGGCGCAGACTGCTTGGAGATCGTCCCACTGGTCGCGCCATACGTTCGCACACGGGGCATACGAGCGCTGTCGATCCAAACTCAACACTTCGACATCCGTATGGATGCGTACGGCACAGCGTGCTCGCCAGACGATGTGGAATGGGAGGCTGCCAATGCGCTCGACAGCTTCAAGCGGCCACACCTCATCGATCGCGACCTTCAATCTGCTCTTTCGCTCACCTTCCCTCGATGGGCAAGCCCGTCTAACGGAGGGTATCGTGCGGTCGTCAATGACATAGCGCGTGGCCTAGAGTTGAAAGACATCGAGACGCTCTCGGTCGAGGTTGCCGACGATCACTTCGGCTCCGCAGAGTGGGTCAACGCGTTCAAGCACCTCGTCCATATTCGAGCATTGCATGTCCGCGGTGCACCAGCGAGGTCGCTGCTGGACGCTTTGGCCAACGCTGAGGAGGTTCTTTTTCCGGGGCTGCAGATCCTGTCACTACAGGGAGTGAACCTCCTTCGCAGCGAGGTGTCGTTGAGCGACGTTTGTCTGGCGTTGATGGAACGACGGCGGCTTTCCGAGCTGCGGATTGTGAGCTGTACTGTAGATAGGAGCTGGGTTGATGCTGTGAAGGGTGGAATTGTGTCTGTCGTATTGGATGGTGTTCATTGTCATTAGACATCGGCTTGTAATTTATCGTCATATATATTGTACTCACCAAACGGGCCGCCCAACACCCTATTGACTATGACAGAGGCTCACCGTTGAATGTTGAATGTTCCTCAATTATTCTACAGATAAACTCAGGGCTCAGGGCGTGAAGTGGACAAAAAGTATACACCATGTTGTCTTTCCAAGGTCCTGCCAGGACTCGAACCTGGGTTAGCGGAAATCATCTAATCAGAATCCGCTGTGATAACCACTACACTACAGGACCGTAAGCAGAGGCGTGACATCACAGTATCCAACTTAAATTATATCCTCCCATAATTGAACCAATCAATGCATATGGTCTACAGTGACTCGCCTCAGAGCGACCAATGTTGTTACAGGCGTTGTCTTTGACCTTTCAGCACCAGTTGTACGCATTCTTAAGGATGCCATAGTGTTCTAAGAGAAAATGATCCATTGATGAGTGAATAAGACAGTACGATTGATATGACCAACTAAACTAGATGATGTGGATGCAGTAGGTATGTATATGCGGGCCGGAGATGTACAGATGAGCCGTGATGATGACAATGAGGCAATAAAAAGACAACAAGACAAACAAAACACGATGCTGAGACACGGGTTGATGGGGAGAAGATGCGTGCGGTATCCGATTACGGGTATGTATATGAGACACGGCCGAAGATCATGCAGATGAAGAGGCGAGTGCGGCGGCCGAAGGCGTACCGCGGCGTGGACTGCGCCGCCGCCCGGGCGACGCGTCGGTGTTGGGTTGCGCGGATGTAGAATCGGAGGTGGGTGCGGGGGAGGGTGTGCGAGCGGCGGCGGCGGCTTGAGCCTCGCGCTCGAGAAGAACGGCGAGAGCAGCGGCGGGCGAGCCATGCATGGTAACAATATCGACGGGCGGCTCGTACGGTCCCTCCTCCATCTTAACGTCGTCTTCAGCTTCTACCGGCTCAGGCTCCTTCTTGCCTGGCACCTTCCCACCAAGATGCTTGCGCCAAATGTGACCAGCGAGCGCACGAGGTTCAACATGCACGTCCTGCCACTTGCGGCCACCTGACCCAGCACAGCGGCAGAACGCCCATTCGCATGCGACGCGCTCCTTACGAGCGGCTTTGTGAAGGTCGTGTGCGCTCTTCAAGTGCGCCGCGACGTCGTCGGTGGTGCAGCCGGGCTCAAAGACATGCTCGCAATACTTGCCCGAGGCCCACATGCAACGACCATGTGCTGCGGCGGGTGGCGCGGGGGTCGGGGAAGGTAGACGCGAGGAAGATGCGACAGGTAGAGGTGTTGTTACGTGTGCGGGTGTAATTTGCGGGCTGGCGGGTCGAGAAAGGCGGAGGAGTTCCGGGTCTATGACCGAGTCGGAGACAGGAAGCAAAGCAGCGCGCGACGTCGGGGAGGCGCTTGCGAGTCGGCGCCGTTGCCTTGGTGGCACTCGCGCAAGATTGCCGGTGACTGGCGGTGGCCTCTCGGACTCGGCGGGCTCCGGTTGCCAGAGTTCGGACAAAGGCGCGGAGGCGGGTGGCGGGAGGTTGAGTAGCAGAGTGGACGAGGACCCGCGTCGCGCCTTAGCGCGCGGGCTCTCGCCTTCGTCCGTGGGTTCGCGGGAGCGCTTGCCGAGGACCAGCTCGGCGGTATGATTCAGAGGGTAGCTGAACGAGCTGCGGCTCGGGATAGTAGGCGCGAAGGGGAGTGTGGGAAAGGCAGTGGCGACGAGGACAGCGGCGGACATGTTTACGGGTGATGGGGCACAACGGCACGGAAGTACGGCGGCTTATGTAGGCTCGGGTACAGGAGAGTGTTAGCGCAGGGGACGGACGAGGTGCGAAGGCGCCGGTTTCGGAGAAGTGGGACAAGGCGCTTAGCGGAAATGCGGGGACGCCCCTTAAGTACAACAAGCCGAGGGTAATATAATAGAAAACGAGCCTCGGACCTCGAGGAAAACAATCAACCACGGGCAAGCGCCAAGATCGTCAATCGATCCGCAGATTATAGTCAAAGGCCACGCCCCTACATGTGTGTGGTCCGAGGGTGAAAGAGAGAAAGGCGAGCTGGGGCACGCGTGATGCACGCGGTGGCTGCACGACAATGGGTAGGACAAAGCAAGGACACCCGTCAAAGGAAACAGGGTTATACTAGCGCCGCTTGCCGTGCCACATCTTCCTGCAGGTGGGGGTGTACGCGCTGTGATGAGCACTCCGGGAGAGTCCCCCTGGTTTGGAAAGAGGCACAGCCTGAACCACTCAAAGGAGGAAGCGTTCGATGCTGTCACTGATAACGCATCTGTTGAGCTACGCATACCTGTTTCGACGATGGATGGGTTCAGGTCTGCCTGACAGAAGGTACTAGAAGAGGCTGTCATCGACGTTCGTGGCGAGTATCGATGGCGGCGGGCGCGGGTGAGCTTTCGGCTTCGGCTTCGGCGCTGACCGGCGCGATATCCGAGCCCCGACTATGCTAGCCCTTGTCGGCCACATCTATGCCACCGCCGCACCTGCCCTTTCGTGCAAAGGGCTCATGCGCGGGCCTCAAAGGCGCGTTCATTCATCGGTGCCACATCGCTATCCTTCGATCTAGAAGTTCTATGTCCGTGGTCATCCCGGCATGCATACAGTATTATAGATCGGATCGAGACACGATACTAGATAATCAAGCGAGTATGTACTACAGATCGTCAAAGCTGCCATTGAAAGTCAGCTCGGGCGCGGAGATCAGAGGCAAATACGGAACATACCGATCCGGGAACAGAGCTGGTGCGAGCAGGCTCCACATGTACAAGAGCATACAAACCCAGGAGCTCACGATGCGAATCCACATGGCGGCCTCGGAGCGTCCGATGTGCACGTCGTCCTCTTGTCCAGGTTTGACATAGTTCCAGTCGGTCAAGAGCATCGCGACATACATCGCACCCAAGACGAAGATGACGTGGAACCACGAGTACTGTACAAGGCGTGAATTTAACGCGCGACGCAACGCAACAAAGGACCCACGTTGTATCGCGTTCCCGTCCGCTCATCGTCCCGAGCGTCTCCAGTCGCGTCATCGTCATCGTCTTCCTCATCCCCATGCATCATTTCATTCAGAGCAGAGGGTGGGATAGCGCTGCGACGGGTGTAAGCACGTCTAACCCCCTAACACAGCTCGAAGCCCAATCCGCTTACCCAGCTTCCACGGCCGCAAGCAGCGCCTGATACCTCGGCGTCTCCGTGCGGCTCGGCTGCGTGTTCACCACGCCGACCTCATGATCGTCCTCTGGGAGAGCAACAACTCCCTCGCGACGCTTCTTGCCTACCAGAGCACGACTTTGCGTAGCCGCGCGCGTGGTAGAGTACGCGATAGCGAGGAACGTGAACAGAGCGCCTACAACCGTGGCAGTTGTCCTTGCACCCGCTCCAGCAGAGCCTTTCATAAGTGGATTGCACTGCTCGTGTGCGTGGTTCCCCACAGCGGACATGATGAGGTAGGTGCAGTATACAGCAACCATGCTGCTCTGTGCGAGTCCGGAGCGAGGGTTGTGCTCCTGTATGTACGGGTGCACACACATGATCGTGATGATGACGACCAGGATCAGGTTGAAGGTAATGAAGAAGCGGTTTAGAGTGCATCCGTCTCCGGCGAAGTACACGTAAAGGAGTACGGTGGCAACTAGCGCTCCGATGTACATCCCTGCCGTCGAGCCGATCAGGATCCACTGCCAGAGGTTCGAATTCGGGGAGTTCTCCCAGTTCTCCAGGCATAGCTCCGACCACGAGTGCGCGAAGTCGACGAGTAAAACGAGACCGAGGAGTACGAATAGGGCCGCTCCAATGAGAGAGACGTAATTGCCCCAGAACATGAAGAACCCATTCGGTATGAAGAATGAAACCACGACGAGTACGAGCCAGAGGAGAACCTTGGGACCCCACCAGCCGTTCTGAATCGCAGCGCGCTTATCCCGAGTGTCCCGGACGCCAACCAGGGACGTGCTTAGTAGCAGATGGAAGAGAGAGAGGGCGAAGCATATGCGATGAACCTGTGTCGCAGAGCGCAGTTAGCCACCACAGCCTGCTGGGAACGGAAAGGGCGTGCTTACCGCGAGAACACCGTAGCACTTCCCGTCGTCGCAATCCATCTTGATGTAGTCGTAGCTCCATTTCTCGAGGTGGTGGTACACAATGGGTGACTTCATCAACCATGCAAGCATCGAGTTAAGGGCGAATATCATCTATGACATTGTGTGAGATATCTGCCTAGCCCAGTTCGTGGGAGCAACATACAGCGAAACCGACGCGCGTAGCGATTGATGAATTGCAGTTGCATGACTTGCAGAACATGGACGCTGGCGAAATATGAGCCTCTGCATATGTGTTGACGTGTAGTCACATACCAGCCGTGGAAGTGAAGCAGAATGCCAGGCCCGCGAGACATGAAGAGCCGACTGTTCCCAGAACGCCTGCCAGCGGCAGCGAGAAAAGGAGACCCATGCTGGGCTATCTAGTCGACAGAGTACGCCTGATGTGGCTGGAAGAGATATACGAGACGAGAAGGGGAAACGCGATGAAGGTCCGGGACAAGCTTGCTTCGATCCTGTTCTCGGTGCCGCGAGGCTCGCAATAGACTCTCGGTGACGTCCGCCCAGGCTCAGACCGTTACCACCATCATGTCATTCGCTCAGTTGGCCTCTCGGACGACCTATTCCGACGCTGGCGCTCTTCTACAGTGCTTTGTACACCGTATATAGAGAAATGATATCTCTTTGACGCTGTACCTTACGGCGGAGGCACGACCGTGCTCTTCGGCGGGACTACGGAGCCCCGCTTACAATACCGAAGTCAGATCACCGACGTGACGATCGTGCTCTGAACTTGTTTATAACCCTCTCCTGCTCACCCGCAGCGCCAGCAACCGCCTGAATTCCTACGGTGTTTGGTGTGTACGTTCGATACGAATACCAATGGTCACAGTGATCTGACGCGATCAAAACAGCAAGATGTCTACGCCACCTCCTCCCGGATACTACGTTCCCGCTGTCACCTTCTTTAAGCAAGACGACGAGCTCGACTTTGACGCGATCAAGGCGCACGTCTTGCGCCTGGCGGAGGTACGCCTTCCATTCCTGTTCGAGTGGCGCCCGATCTAAACTACCGCGGCAGGGTGGTGTGACAGGCATCCTCTGTCAAGGCTCGAACGGCGAGGCCCAGCATCTGTCGCATGAAGAACGCGCGGATGTCATCCGCTTTACCCGCAAAACTCTCGACGAGGCCGGCTTCAAGGACACGCTTGTCATCGCGGGTACTGGTGGCCAGAGCACACGCGAGACGATAAAGTTGAATAAGGACGCGGCGGCTGCTGGCGCGGCATACGCCCTCATCCTGACCCCCGCGACATGGAAACCAATCCTGAACAAGGACTTGATCGTGCGCTTCCACCGTGAGGTCGCCGAAGCCTCGCCAATCCCGACGATGGTCTACAACTTCGCAACTGTTACCGCTGGACTCGATCTCGACTCGCACACCATCGCTGAGGCCGGCACGCACCCGAACTGCGTTGGCTGCAAGCTCTCATGCGGCCACCTCGGCAAGCTCACTCGCCTGGCCACGGATCCCAAACTGCAAGGCAACTTCGCGCCCTTCATCGGTCGTTCAGACTGCTTCCTTCCTGCGCTCGTGATGGGCGGACCAGGATGCATCGCTGCTACGGTGAACATCGCGCCCAAGACGCATGGCGCTGTCTACAAGTTCTACAAAGCCGGCCAGATGGACGAGGCCCGCAACGCACAGCGCATCCTCAGCCATGGCGATGGCCTCTTGAGCAAGTACGGCGGCATCGGCTTTATCAAGGCTGTAGTGGCGAAGGAGTTCGGGTATGGGATCCCGCAAGTGCGTGGGCCGCTGGCATCAGGTTCCATTGAGAAGGTAGAGACGATGTCACCGGAGGATGCGGCTGCTCTGAAGGAGCTCATCGACTACGAAAGGGCACTGTAAACTATCGATATGGACATATTGACATCTGTTTGCGAGACTCGTGAAGCTGAACAAGATGTCTCGGAAGTTGCAGGTCTCCTGTTGAAGGGGCGACCCCTGAGATGGTTAACCCTCAGCATATCCGAGTCGTCTCGGATAACTATAGCCCCTACACTGATACTAAGGAGGCACCACGAGAGGTATATAAGTTACTATTGCATTGCCGTTCAACTTCATCACTCACTGCTCAACCAACTTTCACAACATCACTCCCTCTTTCATCTGTTCACAATGTTCTCCCCTCGCCTTTACACTTTCGTCTTCCTTGCCATCGGCGTCGCAGTCGAGGCCGTTCCAGCACCGTGAGTTATCCGATCTTCTCTCCGTATTTGGAGTCCTGACATATGCCGTATAGGATGAAGCGCAATGATGCGACCCCCGCCCTGGCGGCGAGGGCTCCCCAGTTCTCGGTCAACATCCCCAACGACATTCCCGTCTCCGGCGCACTCCCGAACGGCATCACCATCACACCGCAGACGCCGTCGGGCAGCATCGTGACGGGCAACAACAACTCGACGCTCTTTGGCCAGTTCGGGTTCAAGCGCGATGACGGCCTCGACGCTCGCCAGTTCAACTTCACGCTCCCCAACCAGCTCCCCGTCGATGGCACCCTTCCTTTCGGGCTCACGGTCACTCAGGGCACGCAGAACAGCACCGTCAGTCTCCCCGCGGGCTTCCCTTTCAAGCGTGGTGTCGAAGCCAGGCAGTTCAACTTTACCCTCCCCAACCAGCTCCCAGTCCAGGGCACTCTTCCGTTCGGTCTTACCGTTACTCAGGGTGTCCAGAACAGCACTGTTGGACTCCCTTCAGGCTTCCCGTTCTGAGGTCTTGTTCATGTACCCAATTGCTTCATGATACCCGTTCTTGTATGCAGTTGGCGCTGGCGCCTTGAATAATATACCATGGCTTCCGCTCACGGCGCGTCGAGGTCAGATTTCACCCGCGCTCGCCGCGGGCGTTAGCGTCGAGGTCCCCGTGATGGCCCTTATCACCTGCGAAACACCCGCGCGCAGCGGCCGTAGCTTTCACCCAACCACCACCTACATTTCACCTCCCGTTCCTAACCTCGTAGTCGCGTCATCGTGAGCATGACGACGCGCACGCGCGTACGCGCGCCCGCGGTCCACGCCGAGCCCTGCCTTCCACCACCACCGCGCCGACCCGCTCGTGCCCGCCGCTCACCAGGCCTCGTTCTCTGTGTCAATGCGCACATTGGACAGTCCTGTATTGCGAATATTCTTCCCGTTATAGTGGCTGGAGGTCCTACAGTGCTGCGTGTAGTGGCCTCCAGTCAACTACGTGTCGCGGATGCATTCCCACTCCGCGTACATGTACTCAGTGCCACCTACGAGTTGCGAGGCAGCTCTCATATACCTATCCATGCGAGTCCATGATGCTACCACCAGACTAGTGAGTACCCCCTTCCCTGCCCAATACTTTCGGCTGACCTGATAGTAGGGTCATCCCACCTATCGCACACCACACTGCCGAGTCCGCAGTACGACCGGCTTGTAGTGCTAGCTCAGAGCCACCCCGTGCATGCCTTGCTTGCCTTACGTAGACCCCACGACCTATTCTTAAGTATCTGCCTGTATATATTACTTCCTCGGGCCCCTTGTACTCTGCATTTGTCAATACATGGAGCATCTAGTTCACGGTTACACGTCTTTCTCGCTGTATCGCATAGCAAGGGCAAGTCTGGAGGGGTAAAGGCAGGGAAAATAAAGCTAGTGGCATACAATTGCGAACGCGCGGCAACACCCGATGAAAGGCGTGGCCGGATCAGCAGTTCAGGGACTGCAGGTGGAATGTGGGTGGAAGACGGTAAATCACCTAGACTTCGAGGCCCGCGGAATCTGGGTGAAAACGCGGGTGAAATGCGTTGTTCGCCCACGTTTCGCGGCCTCGGAACCTGACCACGACGCGCCGTGGCTCCTGCTTGACTGGGAGTCGACTTTTCCACCAATCATCACATCGAAGTAAACGATTATCACGGCTTCGGTTCGTTGAGCGTAGGGGTTGTGCATGAACGCCGATCAATATCAGAAGCAGGGCAGTCGAAGCATGTGGCACTTCATTCGTTGACGAGGTACATTGGGACTCGGAGAGTCCAGTTGAACGCGTGGTCATGAAAGCTCGCCATACCTTATTGCGTCTACAGATTATGCCGACTGCGCTCCTAACTGCGCTACTCCGCGGCTCTGTGACCGTTAGGCTACACTTTGACAGCGAAGTAAGATGGGTCTACATCGGTCGACCAATGCTGAGGCGATGGAAGTCGCGAATCAAGCCGTGGCACCGCGCCGGGGCAGAGCGATTTCACATGTGGCCGGTCGGACAAGTGGCTTTATATGAGATGATATCATGCCAACTGTTCCCGAACTAAACCTCCTCTCTTCCCCACACCGTCACCTTCCCCCAGTCGCACGACCAGTCCCCTCGCCACCATGTCCGACATCAAGGTTGACGGTTTCAAGGTGCGTGGTCGTGCGCCACAAACAGAGAATTTGGACTGACGTACACGTGTGTACAGTCCTCGGACATCCTCGCGACGCTTTCTGGCGTGTTCAACGGAATGCCGGACTCTGAGAAGCAGGCGCAGATCAAGAAGGTAAGACTACCGGCTTACATCCACAGAAGTGACACCTAATGCGCTCTCCAGACGAAGGGCATCTTCCAGCTCAACGTCAAGAACACTGAGGGCGCCGAGGGCATTTGGACAATCGACATGAAGCAGACCGGCACGGTGTACAAGGGACCGGCAAAGCCGAAGGCCGATGTCACCATCATCCTCGCCGACGACACCTTCACACAGCTTGCCGAGGGTAAACTCGATGGTCAGAAGGCGTTCATGACCGGCAAGTTGAAGACGAAGGGAAACATGATGCTTGCCACGAAGCTCGACGGTGTCTTGAAGGCAAGTATTGTTATCTGGACACAAGGCGTGTGCTGACGACCTTCCCAGGCGGCAAAGAGCAAGGCCAAGCTCTAAACACACCTTACCACCGTATTCCACCTGTTGTGCAATTGCTATAGTCTATGTATTATAATGGATACCAGATCATCATGATACGTTCGCGAGCTCGTGATTCCCGTCAGATTGAAATGTTGCGCATGTTCCGTGCATTCCATTATCAGCGTGAGTGGGGTAACGAGGTATAATATCGACAACAGTGAAGCAGGCAAAGAGTGGTACGGTAGCATAATCAATCCAAGCGAGACAATATAGATACAGGACCCTCAGAACATGCCGCCAAACAGACCCCGCGGTCGGCGCTGAGTAGGTTGCACGTCCGCCCGAAGCGTCGAAAGGCTGTTGAGGCGCTTCATAACCTTGACGACCATGTCAATTCAGGGTACCCTGGTTGAAGCCATTCATGGACGTACCTCTTCAAGCTTATCTTTGCGCTCCTGAAGCTCCAAATGACGGCGCACTATCGGGTTCTCGCGTGCAAAACGCTCGATCTCAGACCGGTCAAGGTCGTAGAGCAGTCGCGAGTCGATCTCGCGCGGGAACTGATAGAAGAACTGTTCCAACAGCTCGATGTTGATGAACATCGAGGACGTGTAAGCCAGCTTATCCGCGACAACCTCGAGGAAAGCCTCAGGGCATAGCAGGTCGTTCTCGGGACCAGACTTGCACCGTTTGCCCTTGAGCGCCGCCGTACGAAGTTTCAGGATGCCAAGACGATCCGAGTATAGAGCTGCATGTCGTGCTGTTCATGATCATCAGCGACAGCGAGATAGCGGAACGAAGAGAACACCGTACCGTCAACGATCTGGGCGGGCGGATACTTGTATGAGCCCTCGTCGAAAGGCGCGGGCTCCTCAGTCTCCTCGCCTGCAGCTAAAGCCGCTACGACCTGCTTCTTCCGTTCCTTCTCCCTCTCATCCAGGTCCCGGACATAGGACATAAGGTTATTCAACCTCCTACTCCCGCCGACCTTCTTCCTGATCTCCTTCAACTTTCCTTCGCACATGCTAACCTCACGCTCGAACAGATCAACGGCGGCCGTACGTCCGAGTTCCCACTCCCGCGCGTCGACCTCGACCTCGTATTTGAATGGCTTGATGCAGTTCTCAACTTGGTCAGCCGTAAGTGGGATACGATCTCGTAGGATCATATGTGCGAATTCGACCAGGCGCTCCGCCGCGCGCGGGTGGTGTGTGAACGGCTCGCCAGCGGCGATGCCATCAATAAGCGCCCGAATGCCGTCGGCAACGAGAAGCGTTGAGTCGCGCCCGACGCCCGACTTCGTCAATAGAGAGCTAGCGGCATCCAGCTTATACCGCCAGTAAGCCTCAACGTCCTCGGGCTTAAGCTTCTTATCTTCTGCCAGGGCCGTGAACTCGGCGATGCGCTTATCACTCCAGTAGAGTTGTTCCAGGACGTCCATCACACGCTCGTCGAGCATGCTCTTCAACTTCGCGCGGATCGCGGGCTTGCGGAATTGGGTGGTGAACTCCTTGAAGCGGCCCTTGAGAGTATCGATGGTCTCCGCGACGTAGGTCTCGGGTGATGTGCGTCGATCATTATACTGGACCTTGAACTGGTATTGCGCCTCTTCGAGTTCGAGCTGAACAGCGTTGGTGATGCCATGTAATGAGGATGCCATCGAGCTCTCAAGGACTTCCATCAACCTTCGCCGGAGCGTTGAAGTGCCAACCATAAGCTGTTGCGACGCGAACAACTCTCGATGGTCGGCGAAGTACTGGTCTCCGCGCCGTGCGACTGCGCCTGACGTTTCCCGGCGCGCGACCTTGCCCGAAGGTTTGCAGACGACACCAACGTAGCCGAGGTGTAAGGGGTAGCGGTTGCCGGCGATGATGTTCGAGCCCTGCACAGGCTCGACCAGGTCCATCTTCGTTACAACGCCGATGGTCCGAAGGCCGAGTGGGTCGACCCTACGACTGGCGCGCAACGCAGGAGAGTTGGCAAGATCGACATCGGCGGCACAGACAGCTAGAATGATGTTCGGCTCGCGGATGTACTTGTCACACAGGGACGAGATCTTATCCTTGAGCGTCTCGGGTTGGTCGAGCGAAGAGATCTCAATGTAGCCGGGAAGGTCGATGAGAGTCAAATCCGGCACGTTGGGACTGTAGATGCGCAAGTCGATGGGCTTGTCGGAGACGGCTTCTGATGCGGGCACGGCGAGGTTCATGTCCGTAAGCGTCTTCTGAATTTGACTGAAGTCCGTGACTTGGCCCGTCCCTAAGGCCGGGAACTCGCCGTACTCGGTCGTAGCGCCGGGAGTGTTGATCAGTGTCAATTCAATGGGCCGACGAGTGACCATATTGTTGCCCCTATAGCGCATTGGTTACAGAGCTCAGAAAATGGATAGAGGTTCGCTCACTTTGGCAAGAACTCATGCCCCACGATCGCCTCCAGAACAGAACTCTTTCCAGAGCTTTGACTGCCGATGACGACAATGCTTGGCAACTTGAGCGCGTCGCTCTGGTCGATGCTCAGCAATAAGCTTCTGATCTCGATGAGCTTCTTGGTGAGCGACATGAGCCCGTTCTGTCGCATATCTTGCAAATCATCTGGTACGTCCTCCACGGTGACCTTGCTATCCGACATCCCGAGAGCGGCAGCCGCCATCGCGGCAAAGGCGGCACTGTCGTCTTCTGGCTTCGGTGACTTGGACGAGGGACCCTCTCCGTTGTCGCCACCATCGGAGCCACCGTTCTTCCCGTCACCCTCGCGGGCTGAGAAAAGGCCCTTCAAGAATTGCGGCGCCTCGAACTCAGGTAGTTTGACAGAGGCCACACCATCCCGAACGGCCTTGAAGCCGCCCGAGGCCATATCGAAAGCATCCGTTGCTGCATCCTTGACATCGTTCATCCATTCCTCGGACTTCTTCCTGACCTCTGGAGGTGTACATCAGTATCAGGCCAAACCCAGAAATGACAAAGTCGCATAAGGGAGCAGCGCGATGAAACGCGGGCTTTGACTAGCGCTATGCTAAGAAAGGAAACGCGGCTCACCTTCAAACTTGTAGTTGGCATAAGTGATTCCCCCAGCTCCGATAGTAGCACCAGCTATCGGTACGCGGAAAGCCCTGGCTACGAAACGGGGTATCGAAGAGTACGAGAGCGCCCGCGCATGGATATGGCGTAATGCTGCCATATACGCCGGTATCTGGCGTCCTCGCATGCGCGCGGGCTTGGGATTCAAGACGGTGGTGAACTTGCGCCGTGCGACGCGGGACGCGGTCTGCACGCGCGCCGAAGCCTGCAAGACGTAGCTAGCGTTCTTCCGCGCAGCCAGAGAGCGCGTAAAAGACATCTTTGAGAGCATTATATGTCTAGTTCATCCGTCCAAGAAGTCGAAGATAAAATCAAGCGCGAAGCAAAACGAGCAAGTGGTGGTCTGCGTCACAGAGCAGCAGCGAGCACAAGCTCGACGGCGCGCGGCATGACGGCCTCGGCACACAAGGTCATTCTCCCACGGTGTCGGTTCCGTTATGCTTCGCCCGGCCGCGCCGCACCCGGACTTGTCCTCGACCACGAGCTGTGAATATATCCTGTCATGGCTGAAATACCGCAAACCGATGTTGCTCGTCGCGCTGCATTACCAACGGCCAATCTCGGACAAAGGACGGCGCCGCGTGTGGCCGACGAGAATTCGGATGAATACTTAGATAACATTGAGGAGGAATGGAACAAGAAGGTCGATGCCGAGATCGCTACACTGGTTGACGGTATGGTGGACCTGGTGAACCTAGCATCGGTAGGCTCCTGCATGACCGCCCTCTGGTGCATCAACCTCACGTGTGTCCCAGATAGGAACCAAGGACAAGTTTAAGGTGGCGCAGGAGGCCTTTCAAGCCCAGTTCAGAGCGGAAAGCATGGTACGTAAATGTTATAGCGTACACACAGTTGATGTACTTATCCCAGACTCACTCCTTACAGGTCCGCGCTGCAAATTCTCTGCTATCTATTATACATTCCATGAAGCTCTTGCTTCTCTTATCTGACGAGGCGCAGATCGTCAGCCGGAGGGACGCGGAGCTCGCCAGCACGACACAAGAGAAAGAAGAATTAAAGAAGAAGGTCACGGAAATGCTGAACGACCTCCTCCGTCAGCCTATCACCGGAGAATCCACGACGCAGTCCGAGTGAAGTATGCCCTGTGTGCTATACGCGTGACTACCACTTGCGTTGCATCCGAATATCGGTCAGGTGCGCTTCAGCGCTTGTGCATTCGCACTCAAGCTCACATCGGCATCTAGCTTAACCGGCATGTCCTCGCGCTCGGATATTAGTCCTGACAGGCACTCCCGACGCCCACACGGCTCGCCATGGGAAAACAAACACTCGACTCGTCGTGCATCTGCGTCGCCAAGCTGGCCAACATCGATGTATCGTCCAGCTCGCGGCTAGGATGGACCGAGATCGAAGCGCCTATGCCCATCCGGCCTCGGTATCACCATCGTTTGGCCGGGCGCCTTTCGTCAAGAGATAAACATGTACCTACACTGTAATCGGTCACGATGCTATCCGCACACCATACCTGTCGGATCTACATGCACTACCTGTTAAGGTGTCTTGCATGCTCACATTGTGTCATGTGTCGCGTGCCAGCTATTGTGCTGAGACTGAAGATCACTTTCTTCACCTGCTCGATGCGCGTTTCCATCTCAAGCACTGTCGGATGTCGACAGATGTCGACCCCGAATCTGTATCAACTGCTCCGGGCCCTATAGCGACTACATTCTCACATGTTCCTTCTATCGCCCCGTCCATGCGGACTGCTACTCTCGTGCCGAGCTCTGCCATCTACGTTCGCTTTCTTCTCGTTCATAGCTGGATGTGGCTGTCTTGGAGCATGCGGGCATGCCACCGGCTACATGTGTTCAACGACTGCATTTGGCCCTTCACCGCGTTGGCTCGGGCTATCCGGTAGATGGTGCGTAGAAGTTGGGCTCTAGAGCCTGCTCAGCTGGATTTCGATGTCGTCTGCGCGCACCTTCGGGGGATATATAAGGAGGGCAACAGAGAAAGAGCCCCTCAGACGTGTCAACATGGTCGCTCGTCTTCAGTCCGCTGTACCCTCTATCGTTGCAGCATTGCTGGCCTCGCCCGTACTGGCCTTCAACAACGCTGCGAACACCAACGTGAGCCCAGTCTATGCCATTGCCATGATCTGTCATTGATGATTGGTTTAGCTCGCCGTGTATGTCGCACGACTCCTCTGCATACCATTTACTGACCAGACCGAACGCACAGTTACTGGGGCCAGAACTCATATGGCGCCACACATACATCTGATACAGCCAACTGGCAGAAAAGTATCGGTTTCTACTGCGAGGTCAGTGACCGACGTTGCGTTGTCGGCTCGCAGCTAACTGTCTCGCAGGACGACAGTATCGACGCACTTCCCATCGCCTTCCTCAACGTTGCCTTCGATACAGGAGGTTTGCCCAGCATCGACCTCGCGAATGTACGTCTTATCATCTTCGGAGTCAGTTTAGACGCTCATTCGCTATCATCCGTTCTATGCAGACGTGCAATACGAACGATAACGCCGTCTTTCCCGGGACCTCGCTCCCCGATTGCTCCTTCCTGGCCTCCGACATTCAGTCTTGCCAATCCAAGGGCAAGATCGTAACAATGAGCATCGGAGGGGCGACTGGAGCCGTCAGCTTTACCAGTGATTCTCAGGCAGAGAGCTTCGCAGACACTATCTGGAACCTCTTCTTGGGCGGCTCGAGCAGCACAAGACCATTCGGTGCGGCTGTCCTAGACGGGTGAGCTTGTCTTGAGCGATCCTGTATTTCTCCGAGGTACTGACTGGGTTCCTTGCCGCATAGTGTTGACCTTGATCTCGAGGGCGGGTACGCAATGTCCAGTTCTACTGTTCGGGTACAGAGGCTTATACTCTGAACAGCTCGCAGACGGGCTGGCCGGCGTTCGTTACGAGAATCCGGTCTCATGCTTCTGGCGCATCGAAGCCATACTACATCACGGCCGCCCCTCAGTGCCCCTACGTACGCGAGCGCTTTTCGAGTCCACCGCTCATCTTCTGATTTTGATCAGCCGGACGCATATATTGGCGCTGTATTAAATGCAGTTTCGTTTGATTCTGTCTATGTTCAATTCTATAACAATTACTGTGGCCTCACGAACTTCGACAACGCTAACGACTGGAACGTGAGTTAGCCATCACTTCTTTTGACGCCCTCTCATCTGACCCTCGTTACAGTTCGGGACGTGGGATAACTGGGTAAGGCCATGGGACCGCTGTATCCTCCTTATCTGCATTTCATTGATCGCTATCCATCCGTCGTGTGTAGGCGAAGACCGTGTCGCCCAACCCAAACGTCAAGATCTACATCGGTGGGCCAGCGTCCACGAGTGCTGCGGGTTCGGGCTACGTCTCGGCCTCAACGTTTGCAACCATCATACAGCAGACGCGCGCTCAATACTCCTCATTTGGAGGAGTGATGCTCTGGTATGCTCTTTACCATGTCACTCTAGGTAGTGAATGTACTGACATGTAACAGGGACGCATCACAGGCATATGCTAACGGCAGGTTTGACCAGGCGATCAAGTCTGCCCTCACAAATGGCGCTCCCGCGGCCCCAAGCTCCGTCCCCACCACGGCTAAGACTACGACCACTGCGAAGGCGACTACCACCGCGAAGGCCACCTCAACCGTGGCGACCACTAGTGCAAAGCCTACCACCTCCGCGGGGACAAGCAGCTGTGGCGTTGTGGCGCCTTGGCAGGCCAACATCGCATACGAGGTACGATTCGCCTTCACCGGTGACTCAGAGTTGATCGACCTGACGGCACCTTACAGGGTGGGGATCAAGTCACATACAATGGTCACTTATGGACAGCCAAGTACGCCTGTCATATTACGTTTGGTGGTCTTGTTCTGACTATCTACGCGAAAAGATGGTGGTCGGAGAGCGATACGCCTGGTGGCTCTGCGGGCGACTGGACCGATGATGGACCTTGCGCTGCAGTGCACGTCCTTAAGACGAACTACCGTACCGCACAAGCGCACGCCCATATCCCAGCAACGGGCTATCGCGGACCCGCTGCCACTTCTACCGCGGCGGCGGCGCCGAAGTTCAGGATCAAGCGCGATGAGTAGGTGGGAGACAGTATCATGTTGAAGGTTGGACCAGTGAAGGACCCTCCAAATTCGGCTTCAGCTACGTTCCGTCGAAGATGGTCTCTCTGGGTTCTTTATCTTTGTTCATCTTCATCTCCCGCTGTTTGACTCTGGGTAGTTTACCGGCTAAGTTCGAACGTTCATGCTGAATAGAGAGCTAATTCGTACGCGAAAAAGTTGACCGATCAGCCCGTCGGAATCAACTTTATTCAGTCATAGCGGCTTTTCGACCAGCAAACGAAGTAGTTCACTGCGGCTCACCCCTCAAGGTGGCTACCAAATCACAGGCGCTTCGTATAGCCATCTGTAAGGTGAGTTGTAGGGTTGATTGCGGCTGTGGACAGTAGTGAGAGCGAGGCTCACACACTGAGTTAGAGTGGCGACGGGAAATGCCGGCAGAATTCAGCCACAACGGCGAGCCTCGACGAACGTGCGTGATCGACCTGCTCAACGCTCACCCCTTCTCACTGCCGACCTCTCCCTCAGCTCTGTCTGCACACGCGTCCCGCTGTTCATCTGTCTAACTTGCCAAGGATGGATCCAAACGTCGAACCCGGAATGGCATTGTGCCGTAGAGGGAAAAGTAGGTTGGGCTCCTCTGAGCAAGGACTATTGGATGCTCATTAGCCAGACATGCACACATCGCCGAAGCCCGCTACTCCTACCGGTCACCAGTGGCGCGCTGGGCTGCGCGCTCGCACGAATAGAAGATCTACAGACTCAATGACAATATGAAATTGGTTGGGCTTCTGGATCATAGGCTAGTGGGTCCCTGCGCGCTTCGAGCTTGAACTCGGCAAGTCGGATCTGTGTGCCTTCGTTTGACGGCTTTCCGCACCCCACGTTCGCCTTTCGGTCCTGGATAGCTTGCTGTGCCTCGTTACAGTTGGCCGGGCCCTGCGCATACGGAGCGCCCATTGTGATACATATATGAGGTTGTGCGTCCGACGGGTAAAGTTTCCCCACTGCCTCTTTCACCTCGACTGCGCCGGAGTATCGAGTCGACACCCCATTATATCTGCCTTGCGCAATGCGCATAGTCAAGGGGCGATTCAAGTCTGGCTCTGTATCTGATGGCAGCTCGGACTCGGATGCGATTGCGCTCTCACCGTTGACGCCCTTCACCCCTCGTGTGCAACTCAATGAGCGCCGATATTCTGCTCTAGCCAAAATTGACAGGGCTCCATTCTCGTGAGTACTCTACGCAATTGCGATGAAACAAGAGACTGACTTGTTTTGCGCCACAGGTGGTTCCATGTCAAAGTGTGGCTCGTAGCCGGTGTTGGCTTCTTTACTGATGCCTACGATATATTCGCTATCGGGATCGGCGCTCTGATGCTCGGACATGTATACGGAAAGAGTAGGTGTATCGTGATCGTCGTCCTCATTCCTACTCATTCCTCCCGCAGACGGGTCATTACCTGGTTTGGTCGATCTCGGCCTTAAGATCGCAATGCCAATTGGGAACGTCTTTGGACAGGTTGGCTTCGGGATACTTGCGGACCGTCTTGGTCGCAAACGCATGTGTACGCTAATCACCCATCCCCTCTCAGATGACTACTCACGCTCATACTCAGACGGCATTGAACTCAGTATCATCATTGCATCATGCTTCGCCCAAGCTCTTTCCGGTAGCAGTCCTGCAATCAATGCTACTGCTGTGCTCACCGTTTGGAGGTTCTGTATGGGGGTCGGTATAGGAGGAGACTATCCCCTCAGCGCAGTCATTACCTCTGAGTTTGCTGCTACTCGTTCTCGGGGGCGCCTGATGGTGGCAGTATTCTCGTCTCAAGGCTGGGGCAATCTAGGTGCGCTAGTCGCCTCCCTCAGACGCAGTGGCTTGATTACTGACCGACGTTGTAGCCGCAAGCATAGTCGCCCTCGTGGTCCTCGCGGCGTACAAGGACGCCATCCTGTCTGAGGGTACCGATAGCTTCGCAGCGATGGATGCGTGCTGGCGCTTCCTCGTAGGGCTCGGTTGTATACCTGGCGTCATTGCGCTTTACTTTCGCCTCACCGTCCCCGAGACGCCCCGTTTCACCATGGACGTCGTGCGCGATATCAAGCTCGCCGTCAAGAACATTCAGGCTGTGCTCTCTGCCAACGGCGTTCAACCTGGCGTATGGGAGGTCGACGAGTCCCGCCGACCGTCCTCTCCCGTCGATGCACCCCGGTCGTCATGGCAGGACTTCAAGCAGTACTTTGGCAAGTGGGAGAATCTGAAGGTCTTGATCGGTTGCTCATACAGCTGGTTCGCTCTTGATGTACGTCTTCTTCACCTGCATGCTTTGTCACCTCGCTGACACGCACCAGGTCGCTTTCTATGGACTCGGGCTCAATACCTCCAAGGTATTGACGTCGGGCTTGCTCTCGGCCATTGGCATCCAGCAGAGCCAAGAGAAAGACCCCTCCTCGGACTTCAACAACATATATAACATCACACTCTTTACCTTACTCATCTCCGGAACTAGTCTTATTCCTGGATATTGGGCCACCTTTCTCTTGGTGGATCGTTGGGGTCGCAAGCCCATACAACTGATGGGCTTCGCAGTGCTATTCGTTCTCTTTCTTGTAATGGGTGAGCTCATTGATGCATACCGCACGTTGAAAGACCACTTACTCATTGGTATGTCAGGCTTCGCGTATGATTCTCTCATGGGTTCTGAAACTGGGTCAAAGGTCTTTGTTTTCATCTACTGTCTCGCCAACTTCTTCCAGAACTTCGGACCAAACACCACTACCTTCGTCATACCAGGCGAGGCGTTCCCGACACGCTATAGGGCAACTGCTCATGGTATCTCTGCGGCAAGCGGCAAAGTCGGGGCCATCGTCGCTCAGATCATCTTCTACTTGCACGGAGGCTCTATCCGTCTGATGTAAGCACACATTTGTCTAGCATCTGCTCGTTTGTCTGATAGGATACCGGTATAGCTTGAGGATCTTTGCCTTCATCATGCTCAGCGGTATCTTCTCTACGTTGCTTCTGCCAGAGACCAAGTCGAAGTCGCTCGAGGAAATAAGCAACGAAAAGCAGTCAGGATTCATTCGAGGTGCGTATCTCCTACGACCGTCCCGTAATCGCAGCTCATCCTCAATTACAGGTACCGATACGTTTGAGCTACGCAATGGAATTGTTCTGAAGAAGGTTCACTAGTCCTAGTTTTGCTCGTCTCCTTGACTGTTTCGTTTGGTCGCATCCCAATCTGTCGCACGTCTTCGCTTTGTTTTCGGACGATTGTATCTTGAAGTGTATATAAACCTGTATGCTGCTATCAAATGTACTGTATGCCTTCGAATCGCAAGCGGATTCTGTTCAGGAAATGAGCGCTGGAGAGGACGTGGTGGTTCGAAGGAAGACGCGGAACGACGGAAGAGTCAACGGCGAGCGCCGAACCACCGGCTCGTCGGCACCGAATTGATGGCCCAAGCTTCATCGCCCTCAGGCCTGCACGCTGCATCTTCCCCACACACCACCACTACCGCGCCCCCACTACTTGACCGACCACTCTCAGGTCGCTCAGCGCGCAATACATCATGCCGAAGGTGCGTCGAATTGGAAATCCGATCGGTGATTTTCTCTAATAGAGCGTTTATAGAATAAGGGAAAGGTTAGCTAGGAGCGATAATTTATCCCATTACATCCTATCCTAATGGCCATATCTTTCAGGGAGGCAAGAACCGGAGGCGTGGAAAGAACGAGAACGACGACAACAAGCGCGAACTTGTCTTCCGCGAGGATGGACAGGAATATGCGCAGGTCATCAAGATGTTGGGCAATGGGCGCCTCGAGGCGATGTGCTTCGATGGCGAGAAGCGCCTAGCACATATCCGTGGAAAGATGCGCAAGAAAGTGCGTTTCATATTTCTCGATCCTTGCGTGCGCAGCTGACGGTGTGGCGACGCGCAGGTCTGGATCAACCAGGGAGATATCATTCTCATCTCGCTGCGTGAGTTCCAGGACGACAAGGCGGATGTCATTGTCAAGTACACCGCCGATGAGGCTCGCAACTGTACGTTGCCCATTCGTTCCCGCCAGAAATCATACTTGTGGCTAATGCTTGCGTTTAGTGAAGGCGTACGGCGAGTTGCCAGAGAACGCCAAGATCAATGAGACGGACACGTTCGGCGAGGAGGAGGGAGAGTGCACATTCGAGTTCGGGGACGACGACGAGGTCGACATCGACGACATCTAAGTGTATATTGTCTTCCGGTGAGCCCAGACCGAATTTTTTTAACGGACAACGACACTGACGGGAGGCGCCACAGTTCTCTGTATTATTTGCATCGATTCTGATCTGTACATGTCTCATGTGTTCATACCATCCCTGCTATCGACTAGATGCAAGCCATGACAAGCCCCATACGTCTTCAGTCTCTCTCAGCATCCAGCCAGCCCTTCGCAGGAACTCACCCAAGACGTTGAGTTCTACATGCCCTCACTCACTGGGCGAGGGGCTCCCCGTGGAGGGAGATCCACTTTTGCACGACCTTTGCCCAATAAAGTGCCGGGCGATACTCATCCGGGCTCATCTTGCCTATGAGGGGGTCAGCACATCGCAGGGTGAACCCGTCTATCCTTGATCGCGTACTGATAATGAGTCCGCGGCGCGCCCACGCGTCGACGATGAGGCTGCCCCAGAAGAACATCCAGACCATTGCCCATGCCCATCCAACCGGTCCGCGGACCTTGATCTTCGTGCTCTGCGTGAACAACACCTCCATCGCAATGCCGACGCCCATCATGGTGAAGAAGAACGTGATGGCGCCTAAATCGGTTCCCATGCCTGCGCCCCAAGTACCGAAGTCATGCATAAGGCCGGACACGAAGAACGCCCCGATTACGCCTCCGGCGCGGCCAGCGATCTTGAAACCTGGCTTTGCCCCACATGTAATGAAGGCACGCTTGAAGACCTGATGCCAGCGCGTTCCCCAGAAGTCTGCGAGACTTTCTGCGCGCCAGGGCGCATGGAAAAGAGGTGGCCACTGTTCGGGCTTTTGACGCAGGATGGCGATGGAGAAGGCGGCGACGGCGTTGTATGTCGCCTGGAACGAGCAGCAGAGACCTAACGGGCAGAGGAATGTCATCATAACGACCTTCCCGTAGTGCAGCACCGGAGAGAGCGTGGGGTCGAAGATCGTTCCGCCTGCAGGGAGTGTTGGTAGGGTGTCGGATGGGTACAGCGTCCAAGACTGCTGTGCAAAGAGCACAAAGTCGAAGAAGATCTGCACTTTGACAAAGCTTTCCAGATGACCACTGGCAGACGTCGCAGATCCGGGCGAACTGTCTCCGCCGTCCTTGGGTGGGACATGGATGTTCTTACCCCAATCCCACCCGACGCCACGCGCGTTCCAGATCAGGTCGAGAGCATTCCACATGGCCCCCAGTAATTGGACCGTGTATTCCTTCGACGCGTCTTCCGGCAGGATGGACCATCGAATGCGCTTGAACTGCTTTGACACGGCGAAGTCGGTTGCACGGAGCATGACGAAGGAGAGGAACCACTACATTCGCAGTGAGTGTTTAGTTTGACAACACGGCTTGAGTGCTTACGCAGACAGAGTATGATATCCAGTTATTCCCCGGTTCTGGAGAAGGATCGTAGTCGTAGAGCGTACCCGCTCGCCATGCCATTACGCCCATCAATGGCAAGATGGCAATCCGCAGCCTGCGTGTATTGGGCAATTGGACCAGCACGCCAAGAATGTACCACATAAGTAGGATGGGGAGGAACTCAGAATTGAATCTGTCCTTCGTGAAGGGTATCCGATCGGCCGCTTGAGGGAATATAGGCCATATTGCGCTGGGTTTCGATACTAGATCGTATACGCTAACATGACTGTGAGTCTTGATCAGCAAAACAAACTACAACGCCATACGACATGTTCTCTCGAGCGACGTCCTTCAGTCGTAACGGGAGGTAGTCCGATGAACCCATACTCTCAGGAAAGAAGGTGAACGGCGCTGAGGAGACACTAAAGTCTGACTTATATCACGGGGTCCACGGTCGCGGAGCGAGGTAGAACATCGCTTTGCTTCAGAAAGCTTAGGAAAGGACAGCTGACTGACTCCCATCGGTGCCCTCCATTCATGGGACAGGACTGGAGGTCGGTTCAAGCATCGCAGTACCTTTTCCGGAGCCGAGATTGCGCGTAGGGAATGAAGCGATGGTCAGCATTACACGCAGACGAGCAGGTTGTCCACCCCTCCGATACAATACAGTACTTTGTTTTAGTCCAAGTGCGGCGATTGACATAAAGGTATGGGAGAGGTAGATGAATTCCCTAGTGGTGGTCGGTCATACGAAGAAGCACTGCTTGACGGACCCGAACCGAGCCCCGTGGGAATCGCGAACGCGATCACATGGCTTGAAGTTGAGGGTCTGTTCGGCAACCTGATTTTGCGTTTCCGTTATGATTTCCGCAGCCGCACCTAGGACCATGATTGGTGGAGAGGCCGTCGAAAGTTCGAGA